GTGTGTGTGTGTGTGTGTGTGTGTGTGTGTGTGTAGAATTCAAATAAGACAAAAAATTTATTTTAATCTAGTATTGGGGATTGAATCCAGGGCCCTTTATAACTGACATCCATTCCAGCCCCCACCCCTTTAAAAATTATTCCAGGTGTTTTTTTGGTTGTTGTTGTTTTTCTGGGTGTTTAACCACTGACACATCCTCAGTCCTTTTTAAAATATTTTATTTACAGACAGGGTCTTGCTGAGTTGTTTAGGGTCTTGCTAAATTGCTGAGGCTGGCTTTGAATTGGGGATCTATCATCCTGCCTCAGCTTTCCAAGCGGCTGGGATTACAGGCTTGTGCCCCTCTGAGTCCTTTTTATTTTATTTATTTATTTTTTATTTTTTTATGGGGCTGGGGATTGAACCCAGGGCCTTGTGCATGTAAGCCAAGCACACTACCAACTGAGGTATTTCCCCAGCTCTAGCCCTTTTTATTTTGAGACAGGATCTCATTAAGTCACTTAGGGCCTTGCTAAGAGGCTGGCTTTGAATTTGTGATCCTCCCATTGGACTTCCCCAGTTTCTGGGATTACAGGCATGTACTACCATCCTGGCCAGCATCCTAGCTGTTTTTTAAAATTTCATTTTGAGACAGAATCTCACTAAGTTGCTGAGAGTGGCCTTGAACTTGAGATCCTCCTGTCTCAGCATCCAGCCTCAGAACAGAATAAGGCAAAAAAAAAAAAAAAAAAAAAAATTCCAGCCTCTAGAGGACCTGAGATTACAGGGATGTTCCACCAAGCCCAGATGATTGACATTCCCTAACTTTTGAGTCTTTAATTATGTCTTTAATGTAAATCCCTGGCAGAAGGGCTGTAGGTGAACATTTTTAATTGATGGTTTTGATATAGAGCTGAGCTAAAATGTAACAAGTACTAAATTCATTTCTGTTCTCAAAGAGTTTATAATCTAGTGAGGATGTACCCGAAAGCTTGATCATTGTCCTGGATGCCAATCCAGTAAAGAAGGCAAGGTCTTGAGAAAAAGGAAAAGGTTTTATTGCTTGGCTAGCAAAGGAGAAACACAGGGGACTCCTGTCCCAAAGACTGCGATTCTGCCTATCCGCAGGAACAGGGGGCTTTTGTAGAGGTGATTCAGAGAAGGCGAGATTGGGGAGGTGAGATCAGGAAGGAGAAGGTTAGGGAGAAAAGATTCAGGGGAAATTTAGGGAAGATTGGGAAAAAGAAAAAAAAAACATGTAAGTTTCAAAGCGACAAGGCATCAAGTGAAACCGGGAGACAGGTGATTACCTGTCTGAGATGACCTGCAAGACTTTATACAGGGGACCTCAAATTTTACTATGCAGAAAAAAAACAATTCCCAGGGCCTCGGAAGGGGGCTCTTTATGTAGGAAGAGCTTGTTGGCGACCTGATTGGCAGGGAAGTAACCAGCAAGAAATCCTTTCTACATAGAGAGCCCCCGGAGGCCAGCCTGGGGGCCGCGGATTGACTGTAGTAGGGCACTGCCTTAAGTGTCCATAAGCGGGTAGGACACCCAGCGGTCGACCAGGCACAGGCAGACGATATCACCATGCTTGGCCCCTTCTGCCAGCATCGTCCAGGAGTTTGTCCGTCTTTCCGGGGGCCTCATGAGGGGTTGGTGTTTGTGGTGTCAGTTCTGCCCAAGTGGCCCTTGTTAAGGAACCTGACTCACATCTGTGATCGCCCAAGCAGATACTCTTGGTAGGGTTGGAGGTAAAGCCGTTCACTTCGGATTCTAATCAGTGCGCGTGAAGAGTGGCTGAACTGAGCCGGGCGGGGCGGTGCACGCCCGTCACCTCCGAGACTCGGAGCCTGAGGCAGGAGGATGCAGGTTCAAAGGCAGCCTCTCCAATTTGGCAGCATACTCCGCCCTCAGGATTAGCCCCCGCCCGAGTGGGAGGGAAAAAACACACACGACCTCAGGGGAACACCCTCCCTCGAGGGGAAAAAATGATCAATCCCGGGGAGACACGACCTGAGCCCCGGGACCATTCCTGCTCTCTGAGCAACCCCAGTGGATTTCTAGAAACAAGGACCCCATAACTTTCCCGAGGGGCGGAAGAGTGCGCGCAGCGGTCACCTAGTCTTAACTTAGCAACACCAAGCAGCCGCGTGGCGATTAGCCTCTAGGCCCTTTGGTAGCAGTCAAGGCGGCTCCTGGGGGCCCACGGGAGCCGGGGGCCCTTGCTCCAGGCAGCGCCGCGAAGCCTTTGCAGCCGGCCCCTCCCCCTCCCCGCCGGTTTTGCACACGACGCGCGGAGGGCTGCTTCACACGGGTTGGCAGGGGCCGGGGATAAAGCCTGCGGGCCGGCGCGGGGCTCAGCGACTGGCCCAGAGACCTAGAGTGCTGGGCGCACCGAGCAAGAGCGGCAGCTGCAGGGGACAGTCGGCACAGCGGCGGCTGGGACCTCGTGACAGGTGGGAGTGTGCGGTGCGGCCAAGAACTCCGCGCGCAACCTCTAGGGCGCACGGCTTAAGGACCCGCTTCGGGGCGCGCAGGTCCCATGGACACCGTGGAGAAGCAGCACCTGTTGGAATGCAGGCGCGGAATCCAGTAAGGCGGGAACCGGGGGAGAAAGGGAATTCGGGCGGCGTCAGACGCGCCTCCTCCTTGGCTATCCCGGCTGTGGTTGGCTTCGTCGGAGGCCTGAACCGGGACCACGCGGGAGGGTGGAGTGAGGCCCGGGGAAAAGACCGTGACCCTGTGGCCCCAGGGATCGCTTCTCCTGGGAGAGTTCTGTACTACCAGACCCTTGCCTCTCCGGGTGGGGGAAGGTAGCGGGATGCCTGGGGCCCCACCTCCAGTCCAGCACTTTGCCCCGGGGCAGGCCTGCTGTGAGCCCGCCCTGCGTTCCCCAGTAGGTCAGGGAGGGGGAGGCTCTGCTCCTCTGAGACCTAGCTCCGTTCTCTCGTCGATTGACTGGACAGCCTGCCCCTTGGCCGGTTCCCAAAGTCACTCCAACACGCTTTGGAAAGGATGGGGGAGGGAACACGCCCATTCACCCCCCCCCCCCAAGGCCCCTAGACTCCCATTCCCTTAGCATCTTCCTCTGAACTCGGCCTTCCTACCTTTTGGCCAGGGACTGCTGAACTTGGGAGTGTCCTAGCTGGTCTTCCCTTGGACACATGGGAACACCAAGGCCTCACAGAGAGATGGGACTGGAGTCAGCCCTCCTTGCTCCCATCATCTCCCTGCTGAGTGATTTCTCTCCCTTCCTTCCTGGCCAGGAAATACATAGGATCTCTGTGGCGGGAGGGGAGTGGATGGATCTCCCTCCCCGAGCCTGGCCTGAACTTTCAGACTGTCGAGCCTGGCCTGAACTTTCAGACTGTCGATCTGGTCGCTGGGAGCAACCATTACTGCCATGCTCAGAAGGGTCCTGACAGTCACTGTGACCCCAAGAAGGAGAAGGCCCGGTGCCAGCTCTACGTGGCCTCTGCCATCTGCCTGGTGTTCATGATTGGAGAAGTCATTGGTAAGGACTTTTGGGCTCGCCAAATGAAGTAGGCTAGGGGGCTGCCTGGATGTTCCCTGTATTACAATAGCCCCAGGTGCTGTGCACTGATGAGCTAAGTCCTCTACGTGCAGGTCATCTCACGTGCCCCTAGGGCAACCCCTAGGGCAACCTAGACCTACAGTGCTTGCTGTTATTCTCCTTATTTTACAGGTGATGAAACTGAGGCATGTTAAGGTTAAGTAATCTTTCAAAGATCACCCACATCTAGTAGATAGGGAAAGTCTGAATTCCTAGAAGGAAAGAGCATGTACTGATTACCTATTATGCTTTCCAGGTCCTATCTAAACTTGATTTTCTTCTTTTTTTTTTTAAGAGAGAGAGAGAGAGAGAGAGAATTTTTTTTTAATATTTATTTTTTTTTAGTTTTCGGCGGACACAACATCTTTGATTGTATGTGGTGCTGAGGATCGAACCCGGGCTGCTTGCATGCCAGGGGAGTGCGCTACCACTTGAGCCACATCCCAGCCCTAAACTTGATTTTCACCTTGACCCTTCAAGTACATGTTGTTAACCCTTTTCACAGACAGTGGAAGTCCAGGCTCAGAGTGTAAATCCCTTTCTTTTGGTTGTACAGCTAATGGGTGGAGAGGCCATTGAACTCAGTGTCTTCCAGAACCTGTGGGTCTCCCCTGCTGCACACAGTCTAGGGAGTTGGCTCTTTGAACTGATAAGGACCTCCTGACCTTGCCCTTGCAGGGGGATACCTGGCGCACAGCCTGGCCATCATGACAGATGCAGCCCACCTGCTCACTGACTTTGCCAGCATGCTCATCAGCCTCTTTTCTCTATGGATGTCCTCCCGACCAGCCACCAAGACCATGAACTTCGGCTGGCAGCGAGCTGGTGAGGACCCCTGTTGGGCTAGAGATGGGGTTGAGGGAGGGTGGGTCAGAACAGGGGTTCTTAAGGTGGATTGGATCTCTGAGTAAGGTCAGGAGGATGACTTGGGTAGGCAAAGAAGCTGTCAACCTTAGGTGGCCTCTGTCCTCTGAGAACTCCCAGTCTGATGGAGTAGCCCCGGTTCCAGTCATCCAGGAACTCCTAGTCTTCAGGGAAGCAAAGTTCACCTTCTGAAGGAAGCAGTGGCTCAGGAACCCCAAGAACAAATGACAATGGCATTAACACTGCACATAACTCCATGGATCAACTCTGGGGGGAGGGTAGGTTAGCAAAGCCTGCTGGGAGACACAGGCTTTAAACTCTCCCTTCACTTCCCACCAGCCTCATTTTCCTCCTCATGGGGGACGGCCCAGCCTCTCCTCTCGGAAGCCGGCCTAACAAAAGGAATATATTTTAATAAATCAGTTTCTTTCCATGTAAAACAAACAAGTCTGACCCAGGGGAGTCCCTACCACCCCCTAGTACTGGGGATTGAACCCAGGGCACTCAACCACAGAGCCACATCCCCAGCCCTTTTTATTTTTTGGGGGGAGCCGGGGTCTCATTAAATTACTTAGGGCCTCCTTAAATTGCTAAGGCTGGCCTCAAACTTGCGACCTTCTTGTCACTGGTATTGCAAATGTGAGCCATCCTGCTAAGCTTCCAGATGAAGTCTTATTTTTTTTTGGAACTGCAAATTGAACTCAAGGGAACTTAACCACTGAGCCACATTCCCAGCCCTATTTTGTATTTGAGACAAGGTCTCACTGAGTTGCTCAGTACCCTCGCTGTTGCTGAGTCTGGCTTTGAACTCGCAATCCTCCTGTCTCAGCCTCCCCAGCYGCTGGGGATTACAAGCCTGCTCCACCGTGCTGGCCCCGATGAATTCTTAATCTCCTTCTGACTCTCATGTTATAGTCAGGGATGATGGTGCATGTTCTGTCTCGACCTAGTTACTTGGGAGATTGGGCAGGGGGATCACAAGTCTGAGGCCAACTGGGCAATTTAGCAAGACCCTGTCTCAAAATAAAGTTGTAAAGGTGCTGAGGGTGTAGCTCAGTGGAAGTGTCAGTCTAGCAGGTGTGAGGCTCTGGGTTCCACCCCTCAGTACCACAAATGGCTCTGACATTCTCAGATATGTGAGTGGTTGGGAAAGGTGCCAGCCACCCCTTCCGAGAAGCCCAGGCGAATCCAGGCAGAGGGGAGGGGAGGGGAGAGCATGGAGGTGGGGGAGCCCCCCTCAGCTATAGGGCTCTGTGCTTAGGTGGCTTTGGGGTGTGGGTTCTTCTCCAGAGATCCTGGGAGCCCTGGTCTCTGTGCTGTCCATCTGGGTCGTGACTGGGGTGCTGGTGTACCTGGCTGTGGAGCGACTCATCTCTGGGAACTATGAGATCGAAGGGGGGACCATGCTGATCACGTCGGGCTGTGCTGTGGCTGTGAATATCATGTGAGTGTGGCCCCGATTCCCCACCGGTGGCCCCTTCTCACACTGTACCTTTGTTCTTGGAAGAAGGAGGCCATGTCACAATTGACCTGCAGTGGGAAGGGATAAGTCTGGTTGCCGCAGATGTCCCTACAGACATAATCTGGGTCTTTTTTCAAGCGGACGTGGCTGAACTGGTCTCAGTGGGAGCAGTATTGTGTAGAGCAAAGGAGTGTCATTTGGGCTCCCTCCCTTGTGCAGTAGCCTCAGTTTCCCCACTTGTGACATGGGTGAACTGGATGACTTGTGCATGCCCTCCTGCTCTGAGCTCTGTCAGCGGGCATCRCCATGCCCAGGCTCAGCCTGGCATTGGAGCTCATGTGGCTCAGAACCAAGACCACATGGGCTGGGCTCTTACTTGGCCAGAGTGTGGGGGCTTGACATTTTTGCCCCACAGATTTGGGTGATTTGAAGCGCCTGCTGCTACCTTAGTGATCCCTGGGCTTTGTCTCCACTTTTGTAGAATGGGGTTGACCCTTCACCAGTCTGGCCACGGGCACAGTCATAGCCATGGACACAGCCATGAAGACACCAGCCAGCAGCAAGAGAACCCCAGTGTCCGAGCTGCCTTCATCCATGTGATTGGGGACTTTTTGCAGAGCTTGGGCGTCCTGGTTGCAGCTTTTATTCTATATTTCAAGGTCAGAGATGGGGACAGGAAGGAGGGTGGGGCTAGGGCCAGGGAGTGTAGATCACCAAGAGCTTCTCCCTGCACATGCGCTTTCCAGATTCTAGCATCTTCCTAGCTCGGGGCAAAAGGCTGGGGAGAGGGAAGGAATGGTTATCCAACATCTACCAAGAATCATCACCTCTGGTCTTCACACAACCCTGAAGGGTGGGTGGTAGTGTTTTATGCAGCTCAGAAAGGTTTGGTGACTTGCACAATGTCACACAGCTGGTTAGTTGTGGTCTTGGGACTGTGTTGCCTGTGCATTACCCATCACAGAGGGAGTGAGGTGCTGTGGAAAGGCCAGGCATTTGATTTGAACCGTGTTATGCCGAGTGAGTTGCTTGCTCTCCCTGAGTCTCAATTTCCCCATCTGTAATATGCCGGTGGTGGACCAGATGCCCAAGATTTTTTTTTTTTTTTTTTTGGGTACCTTTGCCTATGTCTCAGCCCCTCAAGGAAGGATGAGTAGGAAGGGCTTGGGCCTCACCCTGTGCTGTGATCTCTCCTGCCTGTTCTGGAATAAAAAGGAGAAACTGGGAGGCAGGGCCAGGGTGAGGCTCACCTCCATCCTACAGAGGGAGCCCCTCTCYCTGACATGCTGGGTGGGGGGAAAGGGAAGCTGAGCTAGTGACTGAACCCCGAGTCTGCCTTCTGCTTCTCCTGTAGCCAGAGTACAAGTATGTGGACCCCATCTGTACCTTCCTCTTCTCCCTCCTGGTCCTGGGAACGACCTTGACCATCCTGAGAGATGTGATCCTGGTGCTGATGGAAGGTAACATGGACTCTGGAGACTTTCTTTTGGCCTGTGGCTCTCAAGCTCTGTCCGTCTACACAGGGTGTGGGCGGGGCTTCTGCACACCAGCAGGGAGCCCAGATCTGCATCTGCTGGAAAACCTCCTGGGGCCCCAGGTTGATCTTGGCCTCAGCTGAGCCCTAAGGTGTGCCAGTTCCTGGAACTGTCCCCAGCCCAAGTGTGCCTCCTTCCCTGCTGGGCATGGCCTCTGCCTACCCAGATGGCTTCTGGGTGGTGTCTGGTAGCACCTGGAGTTCCCACAGACTCTAGGCAGGCCCTCCATCTCTAGTTACCCTCCCACAGGAAGTGGGGTCAGATTGTGCTCCCATGGCACAGGGGACAGACTGAAGTTCAGAAGGAGATGGTCAACCTGGGACAGTTACTGAGCACAACCTGTTGCAGGCCCTTCCTGCAGCATCACAGGGCCCAAACCATGCTCCTGTCTTGGAGTGGAGCTGCCCTGAATTACCATCTTATTCACCTTGGCTTTCTTGTGCTTTAGGGCTTTGGGTCCTAGGCCAAGGTCACAGGTTTGGACTTTAATGGGTGCTGGCCTGGGGTCAGCAGGAGAATGTGACTTCAGGTCATAACTTTTCTTTTTTCCCCCCATTAAAAAATAAGCATTTGTTAGTCAGGCACAGTGGTGTACTTCTGTAAWCCCAGCGACCTGGGAGGCTGAGGCAGGAGGGTCTCAAGTTCAAAGCCAGCCTCAACAACTTAGCAAGTCTTTCCCAACTTAGTGAGACCCTGCCTCCTAAATAAATAAATAAATAAATAAAAATAAAAAGGGCTGAGAATGTGGCTCAATCCCCAGTACCAAAATAAATACATAAAACACTGATTGAGCACCTACTATGCCCCAGGCACTGTGGTGAACAAAAAGGATGGTTCTACTCGCATGGAGCCTCTGTTCTAGAGGAGGAAATGAATTAACAAGATTATTTCAGATGATGTGGGAGCAGGAAGGCGGCAGGCRGTATGATAGTTTCGGGAGGTGGTGGCAGCACCAGGCCTGCTGGCCAAGGAGACCCCCTCAGAGGAGAGGGCTCTTGAAGAGCAGGGTAGAAGGGCAATTTCCTTGAGCCTCTGTCCCTGCCGTCCTCAGGGACTCCCAAGGGTGTGGACTTCACGGCGGTACGTGACCTGCTCCTATCGGTGGARGGGGTGGAAGCCCTGCACAGCCTGCATATCTGGGCACTGACCGTGACCCAGCCCGTGCTGTCTGTTCACATTGCCATTGGTGAGTGGTGGGGACCCGAGGCGGGGCGAGGGGAGGCAGCCAGGGGCTGGGAGTACTTGATGCACATTACTCATTGGCCATCATGATCTCATTTATCCTTGAAAAAAAAAAAAAGCAAAAAACTGAGGCTGGGGGTCAAGTCCTCCTCGCCCTGGCCCTGCTTTCAGACTTGGTCTCTCTCGTGTTCGTGATCAGCCTGTCCTGTTCTGCTGGGGTTAGCATGACATGGGGCTCCTGATCCTGCAAGGCCAAGCACTGAGTAAACAGGTCTCCCTCGGTCGTCTCTTCCTCCAGCTCAGAACGCAGACGCCCAGGCGGTTCTGAAGGCGGCCAGCACCTGTCTCCAGGGGAAATTCAACTTCCACACCATGACCATTCAGATCGAGGACTACTCTGAGGACATGAAGGACTGTCAGGCGTGCCAAGGCCCCTCGGATTGACTGCCCAGCCAGGCACCAGCTGAAGCATGGCCAGGACTTGCAGGTGGCTGGACCCAATGTCCCACAGCCTCCACCAGGACTCTGCCTACCCACTGTGTTAGGAACCAGATTTATAATGCCTCTTTCTGCTCCGGGTTCAGCATGGAGCCCTGCCTACCGCAGCGGTGGGCCTCTTCCTGGCCTCCCCTGTTTACAACAGCCAGCGCTGTTGGGTGGGGACTCAGCCGATTTAAAGCCAGTTTAACCAGGCTCCGGATACCCAGGGTCAGCTCCGGAGGGCTGTGTTCTTCAGRGCTGACACCCATAGTGGGGAGGCATCGAGGTACAGCCTGGGACAGCAAAGGGGAGACTGGCCTCAGGGTGTCCTCACTGACCTGCATCTCCCACCTGCATGATTGGCCTTTGCCTATGAACCTATCAGAAGCCCCGGAACAGAACCTCTACCTCCATCGCCATGACAATACGGTTTAAGGCCAGGGGATGGGGGACTTGTGAGAGTTCCCTGAGGTGGGAAGCCAGGGGCCATCTGAGGCCTGTCTGGGCCTTAGTCATGTGTGCTTCCCTTCCTGGAGGGGGAGACTTCTTACTAGGTAAGAACCTGATGGGTTTTATCTTTCCTTATTTCCTAACCCAGGAAGCTGTGCCAACACAGGAAGCCTTGCCTCAGGTGGGGGCAGGCCCGCACAGCCCCAGGGCCACTTCTCTTGCCCTGATACAGGCTGTCCAAGGACTGCCAAGCCCGAACTCATGAGTGAGCCTTTTCTGTGGCCTGCATGTGCAGCCCAGGGCCCTGACTTCCTGGGGCTTGTGCATGAACAATTCTAACTTAGGGGCTGGGTGTGTTTACAAGATATAAGAGGGGAGACCTGTCCCCAGTCCCACAGAGTCAACACACTAGGCAACCTCAGGGCCTAATGTCTACCACTGCCACCATGAGCAGATGACCTTGGCCAGTGGGCCTCTCAATGCCTCTTGTCTGGAGACCAAGAATGTAACACCTACCTCACAGGCTTGTTGTGAGGACAGTCTGCCAAGCACCAGTGGTTGTTGGTGAGTAGTTCCCTTCATCCTCCTGGAAAGGGGACTTTGTACTCTGAGGCTGCTTGTGAGAAGCCTCCTCGGCTTCCCAGCCTCCCTAGGGGTAGTACTGAGCTCCTGTCCTGCCCACTGTGTGTATGTGGGGGGGGGAGGGGGCTGGTCAACTACTTGCCCCTCTGAGCCTCTCCCCTTTAATAAAATGACTTCTTTGTGCCTTTCTTCTGGTGATGTAGTTCAGGGGGTCCTTCAACCCCTCAATATCTGTGGGATCAGGGTTGGCCTGGAAGTAGGGGCCACTGTTTGTAGCTGCTGCAGTTGACTCTAGTCTCAGAGGGCCCACTCTTCAACTCCTCCAGGCCCCAGCAAACTGGATCCTGGGCTTCACTGTATACCAAGTCCTTACACCCCTCTTGAGAGACAGGCATTGCTGTCCTCCATTTTCAGAGAGACTGAGTCACTTGCTTGAAGTCACATAGCCAGTGTGAGGCAGGTCTGGGATTTCTGCCTCCATTCCCTAGACCACCCCTATGGCAGGGGGTGGGGACATGCCCTGAGTTGCATGCTGGTACAGTATGAGCCCCTGAAGCCAGCAGTGCCCTCCCCACAGGCAMAGCCATGCCAAGGCAGTTCAGCGTCCTGGGTACAGAAGCCAAGACTGGAAAGGTGCCTCTCCCCTGGCTGGGCCCCTGCTGGGAGCCTTCCCCATTCCTGGAAGCTTGCCTGGGTCACAGCTGTGTGCTTCCTCACCCACCCTCAACTGTTCTTGACCCTGGGCCAGACTGCCAGCCTCCCCAACCCTCACTTAGTTTCCAGACCTTTTCCACCCCAAGCAGCTGACAGTCTCCCAAGGGACAGCCCACTCTGCAGGCCCAGCTGTGACAGGCCCCAGGGAGCACCTACGTCATCCAGAGGTCGAGCTGAAGGATGGGGGTGGGAGGCTTTGGAGAGGCCTAGGGGACAGCGTGTTCTGACCAGCAACCTAGTCACGGGAGTTTCCAAAGCTTCAAAGCAGGAAAACACCAGACACCCTGGGCCTGGCCTGACCCCTCCCTTTGGAGTCGCCCAGCTCGGGARGGGGGAGGGGGAGTCCTGAGCTTTCCCACAGCAGATGTAAGGGTATTTATAGCCTGAGCGTGAGGGGCAAGGGCAGGCAATTTATTTCGGAAGTGATAATTCCAATTCCAGGTGGATAAACCGGGGAGAACCAGCGTCCCCTCCCTCTTTGCACCCTCACCCACAGGGACCTGGGGCATCCCTCCTCCCGTCCAGCCCACCTGGAGATGGTCCGTCTTACTGATCTCCAAGTGTGCAGACCAATGGGGTGATGCTATTTCAGATTCCTTCCCGGTTTGGAGTCTCCGGGCTGCAGACACCATGGACCCTCCACGCCCCTTGCCCACCTTCTCACCAGGTGTGCGTGTAAAAGTCGGGGCCCTCCGCAGGAGGGAGTGCGGGGCGGCGCTGACCTCTAGTGGCCCAAGTCGATAATGCAAGGCACCCGGCTGAGCCAGAGCCGAGGATCATTGGCAAAGTTGGAACAAACAGCCTGCATTTCCATCCATACTCCTGGCTTCTCTGCACCTCTTTGCTTCTCTGAGGCGCGAAGATTGCGCCTGACAACTTAGGCGTCTGCGGATAACTGTGTCTCGGTACACCCAGACCACACTCCGCCACGCCAGCATAGAGTCAATGTCCCTTCCATCTATCTAGTCGTCAAATATTTGCGACGCACCTGCCAGGCCAGAGAGAAGAGGGCACGACCCACCCTCCGGGGCTCCCAGGCGGGTCCTGGGACCCGACGGTGGACACACAACCAGCCAGCCTGAACACTGCCGGGACTGCGCGGGCTCTAAGCAGCAGAGCGACCCCATCCGACGAGAAGGGCAAGGATGTGAAAGACAGGTGGAAGTCCGCCCAGCGGAGAGGCCAAGACAGGCCTTCAGCCACGGGAACCAGCCTACCCGAGGCACAGGTGCAGCCGCCTCGTGGGGCGCACTCTCAGCCCGGCGGAGTGAGGGGAGGCCCCGCCCCTCAGGACTCCCTGGCCGTGATTGGCGGATCCAGATCTGACGTTTGGCCGACTGGCTGTTTTGATTGGATCTCCGACGTCCCGAAGGCAGGTGCCGCTGCGGCCGGCAGGCTGCGGCCACCGAGTTCTCGCCTAGGGTTTCTCCAGACTGCGGTACTTCTTTCGCTGCACAGACACCGGGTCCTTGAACAGCACCGGGTCCAGACGGACGCGAGAAGATACCAGAGGCATGTGGCCGAACTCTGCCACCATCTGGTTGATGCAGTCCGGGGCGGAGAGCTGGGGCTCTGGCCCGGGACCACCAGGAGCCTAAGAGGTGGGAGAGAAAAGCACCGATGGCTTCTCTGCCCTTTCAACCCCGCCCCCCCGCTGCCCGCAGCAAAAAGGATTTGGATTAGGACATGAGAGGGACTCCCACTCCACCTCCCCCAGCCCGTGCCCTCCCAGTGTCCACCCGTCCACCCGAGCTCCTCACCAGTGCAGCAGCTCCCAGAGGCTGCTTGCCATAGGGCACTTTGATAGGAGGCAGCTTGGTGACTGCTGCTACTAGGAAGTTCATTAGGACGTCTACACAGGTGGGTGCCTCATCTGCCAGGGTCCTCAGAGCCTTGGGCAGGGAGTGGGTGAAGAGGGTGTGGTAATACCTGGGGAGGGAGGGAGGGAGGATGGACAAGGAGAGACCACAGCCAAGTTCATCCCCTCCCCCAGGCCTCATTCTCCTCCTTCCTGACCTCCCCTCTCCTTTGTCCCCAATCCCCAAACCTCTTTCTAAAGTCCTGATGCTGGCTCTGGCTGCCTCAGAGAGCGCCCACTCCTGGTATGAGCCCCTCTCAATGTGCGCTGCCCGTGGTGTKTCTGCCTGCAATAGTGTGAGCTTGTCCTCTCCCTCAGCTTGGTGCCCACAGCCTGGGCTTGAGGTCTGAGCTAAGGCAGAGCCAGATTTGGGGAGGGGATGGATCAGCTGGTTCCCAAGCCATCAAGCATGGCACCCAAAGACCAGCTTCAGGAAGGCTGTGGCTTAACCACGCTGATGCTGCGCCAGGTGTCACTTGCTTCCCACCACACCCTGGCGCCGCAACAGGACAAGCTGGGTCCACCCTGCAGACACAGGCTTCCTCTTCACTCTACTGAGAATTCCCGGCAGAGCTCCAGGATAAATCTGCAGAAGGTTCCACGTTACTCAGATTTGGTTTAAACGTGTTTAAGGGGCCCTCCAGAATCCAGATCCTGCCCCAAGACTGGCACATCAGGCAGATTCCTGAAAGCCTGGGATGGTTCTACTTAACACTAGATCTTGTTGAGATCTGTGTCCAGGGATGGGATGGTCATACCACCTCTGTGACATGTAAACTCTCATGTTACAGATGAGGAAACTGAGACTCAAGAGAAGCGGGGAGACTTGTCCAGGGTCTCCTAATTGGCAGATCTGGGCCTTGAGCTCTAGGCCACCCTACTGCTAGTTCAGTGAGGGGTCTCTGGTCCTCTGATCCCTGTGCCAGAGACTGTGTCTGTACCTGTGGTAGAAGGCAGCTGTGCTGAGAACCATGGAGAACTCGTTGGCCATCTCGGCAGTATAGCCCCAGCCACCCCTGGCCTCGTCCCAGAAGTGGCTGCATGTCAGAAAACCCACCATCCGCTCTGGGAAGCTCTGCCACACCGAAAAGGCAAAGTCCACCTGGAGAGGGATTTAAGTAAGCTCTGAGGAAGGACTTCCTGACCAATTGGGACATCCTCACATCCTATAGAGGCAAGGCCAGTCTGGCTGAGGGGCTGGGACAGGGCTCTGGGGAGAGGGGATGGGAGCCATTACTTCAAGTTGACAAGAAGTATAGCATTAACATTTCCAGGGAATTCCTAGGGGAACTTTCTCATAAGGGAGCCACAAAGGCAATGTTTTGAAGAGTCTGCAGAAGCTTCTGTTGGATTTTTAAAGAAGAGGTGGCTGGCTTGTTCCATTGGTTTCCAAAATTAAAATCTGCCCCTTAGGACCCCTGGTCCTCCCATCCCTGGTAGTCTTAGGGGCTGCCAGCGCCCTGAGTCTCTGTCCCTACCCAGGAATCCTTGAGCCTGGGCCTCACCTCACTTGTGGAAAGATTGGTGTGGGCATCGAGGCTGAGGATGGCGTCCGTGCTGATAGCGCTGTACGGGAAGAAGCGGTCACTGACCTGCAGCAAGGGGTGGGGGGCAAGCAACTCAGCCTCGAGAACCCCCGACCCAATAAGTCGGAGCGCTTCCAGCATGGAAGGAAGGGATGGAGACGCACAGGCCTCTGGGACTCGATTTCAGTTTTCCCTTTGGTGAAGTGGAGCAGTTGGTCCCCAGGGGCCCTTCAGGTTTGACATCTCAGGTTTCCTCTACCGTCATATTAGACACATCCACCCTGGGGGAAGCTGTCAAACTTCCTTCATTTGAAAGAAACAGATCCAGAGTTGAAGGGACTTGCCCAGGGACCCCTGGCCAGCGGGCAGTTACACTCACCCTGCTTCTCAGAGGCCACCCGCCCTAATTTGCTGCCCTGTGTCCATATTTCCCTAAGGCCCCAGGTTTCCCCCATCCCTCACCTGAGACACCCACGCACTCCTCTGCCTTCCCTCATGCTCTGGAAGCACGATTCACAAGGGCCAGGGAGGGAAGAGAACCATTTCTGTTAGACCTGCAACTGGAACCCGTGGCCCSATTTCTGCAGGCTTGTGTGGAAGTCTGACTTTGGCCCGGGGCCCAAGTAAAACAGCCACGGGCGCCCTCCCCAGTTCCCAGCACAATCCCACCCCTCACCTTTCTGCGCCCCTCAATGACAGTCAAGGGCACAGCTGTCTCGGGCCACCTGGATGGAACTGGCCTGTCACTGCTCCAGAGAACCAGGATCTAGGAGGAAAGGGGATTGCTCCTGAAGTCTGGGGTCTGGGGCAGAAAGAGGTCCCAGGAGCAATCTTTGTCAAGGCRGAAGGAATGTGGGAGAGCCGCTGTGTGTGGGGGAGAGAAGGGATGGTTCAGTGGGATCCCCGTCCTCTCCTGGGTTCCCTGTCCTTGACTCTGGGTTTCTGGGAGGCAGGAATTCCAGTGCAGTTCGGTAGCCCCTAGCCTGGGCCCTGTCTCCTGCCTCAAGGTTTGCTCTTCTTCCAGCAAATTTGTCATGCCAGCCCAGCCCCGCCCAGTCCCAGTGTCCCATTGGTGGAGCTGTTCCTTCTGYGCCCTGGCTGAGCTGCTTCCTCCCTTGGCAGGAGGAAATGCCACTGAATCCGAATCCTGGGACAGAGCCCTCTCCTGCTTTCTCTTTGYAGCCTCAGCTCTACCAGGGCCTGGCCCAGAAAATGACTGCAGAGTGAAGGACTGAATGGAGGGATGGGGTGTGAATGGAAGAACGGGTGACTTCCCCCGCTCTCCAGCCTCTCAGGGCCTTTAACCAAGTCCCCTGAAGTTGGGGGAAGGGAAGAAACTTGGAACTTAAAAAAAGAAGGCAAGAAGAACCCTTGGAAATCCTCCCTGTTGCCCGCTCCCGCCCCCAAATGCGTGTTCATCCTTGGGGTCTAGGAGTCTTCAGGGGTCCCCCCTGGGTACCAGGCCTCCAGTTGGTGAAGGGGCCGGACCTGGGCGCAGTGCTGGGAGCCTGCCACAGCCTGGATGAGCTTCAGGGGGGCCTGGCCAGGGGGGCCCACCCAGATCAGGGTGCTGAATCTGCCCTCGGGGCGAGAGCCTGGAGAAGGAGACAAAGGCAGTGAGGGTGGGAGGAGATGGAACCCTGTGCAGAGACCTGAGTGGGGGGTCCCAGAGCCAGGAGACACTGGGGGCTGGGGGGGTCTTGGAGGGTTTTCATGGATGAGGTGGGGACGGACTTAGAGTTGAGGGGACAGTTGTGCCACCCACACATACCTAGTTGCAGGTGGTAGAAGGGAAACTGCTGGGGGCTCAGGGAAAAGGTAGGTCGGGCCAGGAGTGCCCCTGGGGGGCTGTTCCACAGGAGAGAGGGGTGAGTGGGTGCTCCAAAGAACCGGTCCTGAATAACCTGTGAAGTGAGGGGGGTGCAGAGGGAGCAGGGAGTGGCCCCTGGGACCCCATGCAGGCCCTGTGGGTCTGGGAAAGTCAGGGTCTGTCGCAGCCCCACGCCACCCCGCTTCAGTCTCTGTGGAGGGCAGCAGCCAGGTCACCAGGCCCCTGGGTGCAGGGAGGTTGAGAAGCCAGGCATCACCAACCAAGGTCATGACAGTCTCAGAATCCTGAAAGGTCCTGAGATTTTTCCCAAACCAGCACCCAGGCAGCTGCTGCCACCAGCTGTCCCCTCTGCGGAAAGGGACAGTGAGGTCAAAATTGGAGAGAAACAGGTCCAAGATATCATGGCTAAATCTCAGGTTCATCCCAGATCTTCGAGGAAGGGCTCCCACCATTGGGAAGAGGAGTATGGTGTGAGCCGGACGCACAGGAGTCCAGGGTCAGGCCCCTGACAGGGAGCGAGCTCCTCACCTCCAGAGTGGTCCAGATGACCTTCTCCACCGAGGAGAAGTAGGCATCCCACAGAAACTGGGTCTGCTGGCGCAGGGTGAGGACCCGTGCGGGGGACATCTCCTGGAGGGCAGCCAGGACCTGGGGCACAGAGGGAGAAGAGGAGAAGGCCTGGGACCTGGCCAGGCACTGACTGACCCTGGGAAGGAGGAGCCTGTGCTGGAGATCTGGAAACCAGAGGCCCTGTCCCCATAGCTAACAGCAGCCACACTTGGAAAAGTCCCAGGTAACATGGCCATCAACTTCAGGGGTGACACACAACTGGATTTAAAGGATGCTTTGTAACCATGCAAATTCGGTCAAGCTGCTTAACCTGAGTCTCAGTTTCCTGATGGGTAAGATGGGGACAGTAGCACCTCTGTCCTGGGATGATCATATCGGTTAAATCAGATGACACCTACTAAGTGCTTAGCCCATTGTAGCAGCTCAGTGAATGCACGGTGGCTCCTGTGAATTCCCTGCACTGTGCTCACTCCTCAGGGGACTCAGGCAGGCTCACATGTTTTTCTGAGCTGGGCAAAATTAGTAACATCAGATGGCACCGTCACCGTCACTGTGCAAACCTCTCCCCCCCAAGCCCCGGGAAGCCTTCTGATTTTGGATTGTTTTGAAGCTTTTCCTTAAATTGGGTGTTTAACTGGACAGGAACCRTTAGAGCTGGGCCCATGAGGATCATCCTCCTAGAGATGGAGAAGCAGGCTGGGAGAGGTCAGGGCTTGCTCTCAGAGCCCCCAGGGTCTCCCCCTCCTGCTGATTCCAAGGGAGCCCCAGAGGAAGGCTTGAGGCTGGGAAGGTTAGTCAATTTACACAGATGGGGGACAGGAAGGAGGACTGAGGTCAGCCTGCGGCCAGGAATCTGAGGTCCCTCCCATGTCTGGTCCCCACCCCGTGCCCAGGGCCCTGAGCTACCTGAAGCGGGAGCCTGTCATCGACTATAATGGCGGCCTTGGTCCAGTCAATGACTTCAGAGAAGGGCAGCTCCCAGCAGGGACTGAGAAGCACAGGAATGCAGCCAGCCTAGGGGGCAGGGTGGTCACTGGGGAAGCCAGTCCCACCCCCACACACATCCCTCCCCCATCCCAGTTCCAAGACCCCCACTGCTGCTGTCGGGGCCGAGGGGAGGAGGAAAGGGAAATGGTTTTTGATTTGAAGATGAAGCATTGTTTTGCAGAGGGTACAGGGACCTGGCCACAGGCAGGCACCCCTGCGCCCCAGTGCAGAGAAGTGGACAGCTTGCTGCCCTTCCCCTGAAGCCCAGCATACCTGCCCGCTCGAGGGGACAGTGGATGGGGATGTCCAAGGACTGTACCTGCAGGGCTTGGAGAAAGCGCCAGGCTTCAGTACGGTGGCCAGGGATGAGGCAGAACGTGGCGTTGGGTGGCCTTTCCCCTGGGAGTGTCCTAAGGAGGCACAGCAGCCTGAGATACCTCACCCCACCTGGTCCCTCCACAGCCCTGGCACCCACACCATGGCTCCCGARCACAGCCCTGCCACCACGTCCTCGTGCTGACCAACCCTCGTGGCACACACTGACACACCCGCTGCACACTCGTCCCCCTCTGCTCTGGGACCAGGAGACAGGAGCCCYGGGTTCTAGCTCAGCCTGAGGCTCCTCCCTTCCCTTCCCTGGGCCTCAGTTTCCTCACCTGCAAAATGGGAGGCAGTGGGACCTGAAGTTTCCCAGGCCCCTTCCACGTCCACTCTGCCACACGGTGACTCTCCAACATCCCTCACCTGAGTGGCCTCCATGCCCAGCCCTCCCCCACCCCCAGCCCAGGCCCATGAAAGGCCGCTCTGTCAGGAGGTGGGCTGGGCCCCCAGCCTGGAACCACAGGAAGCTCTTGCCCAGAGGCCCCCTCGCCAGGCGGACAGGCCTCCTCTGTTCCTCCCACCTCTTCCCCGCCAGCCCCAGGGCCACGCTCAGGCTGYGCCTGCCCTGGGGGAGGGGYAGAAGTCAGAGCCACCTCCCTGGGATTGCCCAAGACCCAACTTGGGGAAAGAAGGGGGACCAGGACCCCAGGGCTCACAGGGCCTCAGAGTGAGACTGACGAATAGGGRGCCCTCAGGACCCCCAGCTGCAGCCTGTCTGGTGCTGAGCCTGATCTTCAAGAAACCTGAACGTATGAGGCAGCCTCAGCACCAATCCCCATTGAAGGGATGGGGGACTGCGTGGCAGAGAAGCCTGGGGCCCGGCTGGGACTGGAAACCTGAGGCATCCTCCTGCTCCCTGTTAACGTGTGAGCGCAAGCACCACCTCCTGGGAAGCCCTCCTGGGTCCCCCAGCAGACCTGGGGGCCTCAGTTTCCTCATCTGTTAAGTGGGGCACTGACAGTACACGCTTCCCATCTCTGGGAGTCGCTGTGAGAATGTGTGTGAAGCAYGGAGAACTGTGTCGGAGCTCAGTGAAGGTCAGTTTGGGGTGGCAGCCGGGTGTGAGGATGCACGCCTGTGATTCCAGCGGCTGGGAGGCTCRGCARGAGGATCACAAGTTCAAGGCTGGGCTCAGCAACCTAGTGAGGCCTTGTCTCAAAATAAAAGATAAAAAGGACTGAGGGTGTGGGGGTGCAGCTCAGTGGTAAAGTGACCCTGAGTTTAATCTCTGCTATGAAAAAAAAATATGGAGGAGGGGCTCTCTACATGTGTGCATGCCCAGAGCTTCTGGGGGACACAGGAGAAACTGGTACTTGGCTGCAGAAAGGAAACCTGGGGGTCAGGAGGCAGGGTGGGAGGGAGACGAAACTTTTTGCTGTASACCCTTTTATGCCTTTGGAATGTTGTACCCTGTGAATGAAGCACCTATTCATAGAAATAAATAACAATTTAAATGGRAGGACCTTCTTCCAAAGCAACAGGAGCTTATTCAACCAAGGTGGAAAAACACGGGCTTTGCAGCCCAGAGGACAAGGGTTAGTTGTTTGAACTCCAGGGTTTCCAAGSGTCTGATCAGAGACGCGAGGGCTCCGTGAACAGGCCCCCTTGTCACCTAAGGCCCTCGAGTGGCTACCTCACATGGCTCTCTGAGCCCCCGTGTCCTGCGCCCTAGATGGGGATGGGGAGGCCTCCCTCCAGGGGCGCCTGGGACAAGTAGCCACAGTTGCGCCTGGCTCCGTGCCTGGCCCTGCGCCCTCCTGCCAGCTGAGGGCATGTGGGACCGTGGCGGGGACCTGAATCGCCTCTTTCTCTGCCTGGTGCTTGTTTATTCAGGCCACTTTCTCGGGCCGGCCCCRGGGCCATCGGCCTCCCTCTCTTCCTCTGTCCCTGGACGTCTGTCTGGCCCAGGCATCTGCCGGGCACTTCTGAGAAAATGAGGCTCAAGATACCCCAGAGAGGGGGGTCCTGCCGCCTGCAGGTGGGCAGAGGTCAAGGACAGCGACACCGCCACGCTCAGCCCTCGGAAGTCGACTTAATAGAGATGCAGACCAGCAGAGGGTGGCCCCCAAGGCCTGGAAAGCCAGACGGTGACGGGGTCTGGTCCATTTTAGACCTGTTAGGGACACTTAGCCCGCACCCACTTACTCAGAAAAGCCAGGGGTGGCGTGGTGACTTGTCACCAAAGGTGAGCCTCTGCCTGGGCCTTGAGGGGCCTCGGGGGACCCTGCTTCTCTTCAGGTTACTGCTAAGGCTAGGGACAGGTCCCGCTGGAGGGCCGTGCGAATGACAGGGCCATTCCCTTCTAACCCCTGGCTGCCTGGCGCCCGAGGCCCCCAAGTGCCTTCGGAGAAGAAGGGATTTCATTCCCAGGGGAGCCCTGTGGCTGGGAGAAGCCCCGGGAGCCCCAAGTGGCCAGATTGGAGAAAGTCTCTCTGGGTGGCACTGTCAGCCTCCTGGCTCCGCGTGAGGAATGCCTGGGAGGGAAGCAGAGCTCGGAGCAGTCCTGTTGTTCCAGCAAGAACAGAAAGGGAGCCCAGGAGGAGCCCAGGAGTGACGGTTTCCAACTCAGGTCCGCCCCAGGGGATGGGCAGGGAGCCCTCTGCCACATGGGCCTGGACAACCTCATAAGGCTTCCATGTTTTGGCTGCCCAGACAGCCCTGGAGACCCCTGGCCTCCTGGAGATGCGGGGGTTCAGGAGCTTAGGGGTTAACTCCTTTATCACCGGGGTGTGTCACCCCAGCTAGCCCAGTGAAGGGAAATTTCTGCAAGAGCCATGTGCCACAGGCCACCCATGCCCTTATCTATATTCAGGCATTCTCACTGGCAGGAAGTCCTTCTTTCGATCTAACTCAAGACACACATATTTGCTTTGGAAACAACCAAAGGCTGTTTCCTTGAGAAGTTAAACCCAAGATTAGCCACAGGAGCAGCTTCTAGCTCTGAACAACTACTTATCTCTCCACCTTCTGGGGCATTTGACAAGGTCAAAACTCAGAATTCTGGAGGTTGGGGGGATAGCTCAGTGGTAGTGTGTACTTTGCATGCGTGAGGCCTGTGATTCCCAGCACCACCACAAATAATGAAACAATAACAACCCAACTCAGAAATCTCATACAGAAGGCTTTGGAAACAGGCAGTTTTGGATTAAAACACTAGCAGTTCTCATTCTGGCTGGGTGGCTTCAGATAAGTTACTTAACCTCTCTGAGCTTTAGTCTTTGGTATACAAACACTTAAGTGATAGTAATTAGTATTATTTTATTATGCATAATCATTTATATAAGASAGCTTAGCACAGAGTAAGCATCTTGCAAGTGTGTAGTTACATAAAATGTTAGGGTAGGAGGAATTGGATTAATGAGAGGGAATAAGCAGGTGTGAGTCATGTTTTGTTTTGAAGGTTCCCAAGGGAGAACTACAAAATCTGCCTTTGACATCCCTTGAGACAAATCTCCATCTCGATGAAAGTGCTCCCTGCTGTCTAACCTGATCTCCTCCTGCTTCAGCTGACACCTAAGTTTGCCATGACTCTGGGTTCTCCATCTCAATCCTGCCCTAAACTCTGGCCTGGGCTCACTCCTCTCACTGTCCCCCTCCCATCCATCCCCCSTAAAGGAAGGTTCACTTACGGCTCAGCTCCAGAGTCCTGCTCACAGTGCCTGTCCCAGCCAACAGGAGGGGAGTGGACATCTGCCGGGCGCCACCTGCCCATCTTCTCTGCCACGGCCAGCAGGGCTAGCCCGGGCTGGGGGCTGTGCTGCCACAGCTGGCCAGGAGCCCTGCCTCGCAGCGGGTGAGCTTCGGGGAGAAGCGGGAGGGCCACATCAAAGCCAGGACGGAAGGTGTCCACCTTGGGGCTGGCCTCAGCCACCATCGCCCGTCCCAGCTGAGAGGYCCAGGGGCAAGGGGCCGAGTGGAGGCTGAGGACCAGGTGGTTGCTGCCTGAGTTCCAGTGTGGAGGCTCTGGGCTGCAGCCTCCAGCTGGGGTGTCCAAGCTGAGGAAGAGGAGGAGGCAGGCCTCGGCGGGGCTGGAGGTGCCATAGCGTGAGCCTTCCAGGGAGGCCATGACCCGGTGATGCATCTCGGAGGTCGGTCCAGCCGCTGGGTACACGAACACCTTGAGGCCATCTCTGCACCTCGAGGTGTCAAAGCAGGTTCCCCAGGTACAGTGGCCACCGTGGGGGGATCGAGGACATGGAGGGGCATCTTCTGTAGGCTCCTCAGGCTGGGAGAAGCTCTGCAGAAGTTCTGCATCCAGCCAGCGGGGCCAGCCTGGGGAGGCCCCTGGCTGAGGCCTGGGCGGCACTGCTGGGCGGAGAAGGGGGAAGACCCCCAGGAGGATGAGAAGGAGCCAGGAGGCTGACAGTGCCACCCAGAGAGACTTTCTCCTCAGGGACTGCATGTGGCCGCCCACGGCCAGGGCTRGGAAAGTGGGCAGCTCTGCAGTCACACAGGAAGAGCTGGTCTGAGGTCAGCTTCCTAGTCCTACGCGCCTACTGTACAGATGGGAAGACTGAGGCCCACCGAGGCAGCTCCCTGCTTTAAGGTCCAACAGGGAGTCACTAGCCACATGTGAGGAGGACCAGCTTTCTGGGCTTGCTCTCCAGCTCCAAGGGGGACTCTGCTTCCTTGGCTTTGGGACACTAAAGCAGCCTTTGCCCTCCTCACAGGGGCCCTGCCGCCGGGCATGGCTCAGGATGATGCAACCCTTGACCAGACAGTAAGTCTGTGACCCTCTGCCCTCCCGGCTGCAACCCCTGACCTTGCCCTGGACCAAGAGGAAAGCCATCTGCCAGGCCACGGAGGGCTGTTGGGGCTTCCATGGGGCAGCCAGGCTAGGGGTATGGGCTGGAAGGAAGCAGGCTGGTGTCCCCTACCCAGCCCTCCTGGACAGCTCCTGAGCCGCCCTGGTCCCCGCTGTGGCCCCTGGCAGGCACTCTTGGGCGGGACTAAAATTAGACGCTACACCCATTGGGCCACCTGAGTCCGCTGAAGGCAGGACCTGTGTGCCGCCAGGGACCCTGCCCGGGGGGTCCAGGGGGACTCAGGGTCCTGGTCCTCTTCCACCCTGCCGCCGCCCCCAGCCCAGGAAATGCAGCCCAGGCTCGCAGCTGCCCGGCACCCTCAGGCTCAGAGCTGTCACAGGGCAGAAGCCAGGCCCGGGGCACCGAGCCCCTGCCCCGTGTCCCCCAAGCCCTGCCAGCGCCGTCTCGTTCCCTCGCAGCATCTGGCCGGTCCACAGCTCTTTCCTCACAGCCCGGCTCCGCCCCTGCCGCCTGATTGGCTCCCGGCTGGGAGGCGGGGTCTCCAACTTAACCCCTTCCCACCGGTTCCCAGTTTGCTGATTAGAACCCGGGAYAGGCGCCGCGCCTGGCAGAGGGCCGTGACCGGCCAGTCTGTCTCTCTGCCTCCTCCGGCAGCCCTGCAAGCAGAGGTTCCACCATGATTCCCGCAGATAGAGAAGCTCTGAGAGGGAAGGGACTTTCTCAGGAGGCCCAGCTCAGAAGGGTCTGGGGGCAGGAGGGAACCTTGACCGTTAGTCCCCAAGCTGGGGCCTGTGGGGGGACGGGAAGCCCACACAGCGGCAGATGGGAAGGAAAACAGGTAAGTGAAGAGTCAGGGAGCCGGTGGGCGGTCAGGGAAGGCAACCCACTGTCCCCACCCCATCTCATCCAAGTCCAGCCTTCGGCTCTAGTCCACRGGAAAGTTCTTCCTGAACTTGGCTTCCTTCCCACCAGCCTGTGCCCCGTGGAGGGACCCCCTGCTTGGTCCCTTGGTCTGCGCTCTGGGACAGGAGTCGGAATGGGGGATGTCATCCACTGGTTGACTGCAGCGGCTGTGGGGGGGGACACAGGAGCCCCTGTCTGACAAGGGAGGGTTCAGAGGGCAGACCTGGAGCGGATGGGCCTGCTAGGCCCAGAGGCGTGGGGCTCTGCTCCCGGGTAGACCACGTCCCCTGGGGGGACGGTGATCAGCTCAGATCCAGGCCTAACTCCAAGGGGTCCCCTGACAAGGGGTGGCCTCTTTGCCTTACTTTGCCTCCCCTTCCCTCCTCAGAGGGCTGCTGATCTGACCCAGGAGCCACCATCGTAAACCGAGGGTGCAGCACAGACGGAGCACCCAGGCCTGTTCCGAAAATGCCCAGCGAAGGAAACTGGCCTCTTGCCACCAGCARAGGGTCAGTCTCTGTGACGGGTGACCCAATGACCGTCCCATAGGCACCAAGTCCTCTCGTGCTTAAAGTGGCCTTTACACAGGCCTGGCTGGCAGTTTCTCCTGCCTGGCCACCTTGCCAGCTGCCTTGTCCGCAGGCTTCAGGAGTCCGGGGAAGGCTCTCTTCCTGCAGGAAACTGCCCCAACCCTCCTGGGCTGGGTTAGGGCCTCTGCTAGGGTCTCCTGCCACTCTTCATTCCTCTACCTGCTCATTCCTTCCTGCACTGGTGCATCCAGCAAATGCATGGGAGTCTTAACTGGGCRGGTCCCCTGTGGGGTCCTCTGTGAGGCTGTGGGATGCAACACTGACTGTGCACCAAGCACACTGGAGGCGCCCGCATGGCACTCATTCAATCCTCCCCTTGACCCTACGAAGGGGATACTGTAACATCCCCATTTTACAGATGAGGAAACCAAGATCCAGGGAACTTAGATCACTTGGCTACATTCCCATGGMGTAGCCAGGGCCATCCATCCTTTTAACCATCACACCATCCTACCRAGACAGACATCCCTCACCCTCCTGAGCTCACCGACCAGGAGGGAGCAGTACCCAGCAATCAGAATGTGCAGAGGAGACAGGCGGGCATAGAGGGCGGCTGGCAAAGGCTTCTGGGAAACCAGACTTACCCTAGGACCTGCAGGACAGCACTATGGCGTCTTGGATTTTGCTTTGTGTTGGTTTGTGGTGCTGGGATGGAACCCAGGGCATGCTCAGCTCTACAATGCGCTCAGACTCAGCCCCAGCCGTGTGTTTTTTAGAAAAATCACCGTGGCTTTGTAAGAACCGGCAGGCCTAGAGCAGGGACAGGCTTTGATGCTTGGTCTGTCAATCAAGTCACTCCTTCAAATGCTACTCTATGAGCCCCTGTAGAGGTGTGGCCAGGCCAGGTAGGTCCTGGGGCTGTGAGCAAGCTGGGGAAACCCTGCCCACAAGGAGCTTCATTTCCAAGGTGGGGAAGGAGGCCGGGACAGAGGAACAGGAGGTCTGTCTCCTGGCTGTTTGGCGGTAGCTCTAGGAGAGGGGGAGGGTTGCAAATTAGGGGTGAGGGTGGGAGCCCACTGCACTGAGAAGCTGGCTTTGGGGTAAAATGCTGAAGAGGTGAGGGAGGAGTGGAGGGTATTTCTAGGGGGAGGGTCAGCCGGGGTGTGGGTTCTGAGGCAGGAGAGTGGCTGTGTGCAGAAGACATGGCCTTACCTTGCTTTTCCAGCACCCTGGAGGGGTCATAGGAGAAGAGATCAGCTGCAGGGGCAGGGCAGGAGCGGGGAGCCCTCCTGGGCCAGGCCCTCGTGCCAGGACAGTGGCTTGGCCCAGAGTGGCAGGAATAGAGGTGAGAGRTCACTGGATTCAGGAACGTTGTGTCCAGGGCAAAGGGCAGGCTGGCTGAAGGATCAGGTGAGATTTGACCTGAGCCAAATCTGAGAGTGGGACTGTCACCCACTGAGATGGGGAAGATTACGAGGTGGGGGGCAGTTTCGGGGAAGACCAAGAGTTCAGTTTTGAGACTGGCGGTCAGGTCTGCTGCCAGCACTAATACGACACATGCCTGAGGAGGGCTTGGCGGACAAGTGAGAAGCAGAGTGGCCAGGAGGCCAAGGCCACTKGCTGGGGGCATGGGGGATACGCTATCCTGCTCCTGCTGCCCACCCCAGCCTGGCCTCGMTGTCTGGCTCATGTCCATGCCCACRTTGGAGCACGCACAAGCCCTCTCCTGCCTTCACCCCCGCAGGGGTGGTGCTCAGGCTGGCCCGAGCGTGCCTGGGCTGTGATTCACAGGCTTGCCAGGCGTGGATGGGGGAGAGGAAGGTGGGGCCTCCTAGCACAGAGAACTGAGCGATCTCATATAAAAAAAATAGATCCTGGGATCTGTCAAGGGCTCCTGGGCATCTGTAGGGTACCCTCCTGTAGCTGGGCTCTGATCTGGGGGGCTGGAGCCAACACACTTGGGAGAAGGGAAAGGGGCCAGGCAGGAAGGAGAAGAGAGCAGTGAGGAGGTGGAGGAGATCCGGCCAGAGAAGCTGGGAAAAATCCTAGGAGCCTTCCTGGAGGAGGCAGGGCAGGCTGAAGCAGGTCTTTTTGTGGATTCGAGGGCAAGGAAGTGTTCTGGAAGGGGATTYTGGACCTCAGCGCAGCAGTGTTGGTTTTACCAGGGGTTGTTCCACCCTGAGCCTGTGGGCTGCCTGGGTGTGGAGTTGCTTCCTGCCTGAGGCACCAAGTGTTTGGTGGTAGCTCCAGGAGAGGGGGTAGGTGGGAGCCCACTGCACTGAGAAGCTGGCTTTGGGGTAAAATCCTGAAGAGGTGAAGGAGGAGTGGAGGGTATTTCTAGGGGGAGGGTCAGCCGGGGGTGGGTTCTGAGGCAGGAGGGTAGCTGTGTGCAAAAGACATGGCCTGACCTTGCTTTTCCAGCACCCTGGAGGGGTCRTAGGAGAAGAGATCAGCTGCAGGGGCAGGACAGGAGCGGGGAGCCCTCCTGGGCCAGGCCCTTGTGCCAGGACGGTGTCTTGGCCCAGAGTGGCAGGAGTAGAGGGGTGAGCTTCATCCCCAGCCCTGTTGTTTGTTTGTTTTTTGAGACTGGGGGTGGAATTTAGGGGTGCTTTCCCACTGAACTACCACCAGACCTTTTATTTATTATTTTATTCTGAGATGAGGTCTTGCTCAATTGCAAGTTTGGCCTCGAATTTGCCATCCTCCTGCCTCAGCCTCCTGAGTTGCTGGCCACTGCGTGTGGCCATTGTGTTTTTTTCTTCCAGAAGTCTTCACCTGACTTTGGCCCTCTCTGAAGGCTCAGGAAGCCATGTGCAGCCTCCCTCCAGTTAGTTCCTGGACCCTCCGGGGGGTGGGGGGGCAGCCAGCCCTAGCCACCAAGGAGTTAACCAACAGAGCTGAAGGTGTTTACCCAGCAAGGAGGCTGCAGTGCCCAGGTAATGAACAGTCCTCAGTGGAAGAAGGATTTGTTTCTCCTCYTCCCTCCCTGGGAGGCTGCTTGGCAGAGTGAACGCAGCCCTCTGTTGGCTCTTGAGGAGGTGCGCATGGAGGGGTGGGAGCTGGGGCCCAGATCAGGCCTGGGGATTCAGGCCCAGAGGTGGGCTTCAAGAAGAGCGAGAGGGTCTCAGACTGACACTCTCCTCGCAGACTTTGCCTCGCTTAGTTCTCAGGACACTGGAAGGGCTGGGCGCCCTTATCTCTGCTTCCAGATCAGGGTAAGGAGACAAGAGAAAGGTGACATCTCTTCCCTAGGGTGGCCCAGCTAGTGGGTGGTAGAGCCCGGACTCAAACGTGGCCTGTCTGGCATCAGATCCGCTGGGCTTTCTGCTTCCCTGATGGAAGAGAAAGAGTTGATTTGTGGAGTCCCTGCTCCGTGCCGGCAATGTGTTGGGCACCCTCTCCAATCCTGGAGGTGTCCTTTTCTAGAAGCCCCACTAAGCCGTCAACATCAGAAGAGTGAGGTGGTGCTGTCCAGGCCGGGGAGGGAACAGAGGCGGAGATCCCAGGCACAAGAACAGGGTGGCCTCCAGTTGTCCCTTGTGATCCCAATGGCATCCCCACCGGGCGTTCATCCTGTCCTGTCAACACCCCTCCAAACCAACCCCGAGACCAGCCTCGCCCCACTCCCCCGCCCCCACGACAGGCACAGCTGCCATTATTTGGCACCTAGATCACAGCACTGGCCTCTGGTCTCTGCCTTCCTCTCGTCTCTCCCCTTCTCCATGCTGCAGCCAGAGGCTCACGCGAGAACACAGGCTCCCTTCCCTGCTTGGCTTGAACTCTGGACTAACCATGTGGTTGGATTTTCTGCAAAACCTCATGGAAGCCCAGGGCTCATGCACCTCCCTGTCTCTGGGAGGAGCAGAAGAGACAGCACTTCCTGGGGTTTTCCATGTGCTGGACCCTCCGTGCAGTCAGTCACTCCAGTCACTCTGAATTGTCACAACGACCCTCTAAGGTACTAGGATTACTATTTCCACTTTGTAAGTGAGGAAACTGAAGCCCAGAGAGGTTAACTAACATGACGAAAAGTCTCACAGCTGACAGGCAAGAGAGCGGGAACTCAATCCCAGCACCCCATGTCCCAGCATGGCGAATATTCACAATAAATAGGAGCTAGCACTGTTATCAAAGATCAGATTTCATCCCCCAATTTTCTTTAATATAGAATTTGAATTCCTTTAGCAAGTCACTTACTGTCCCATTGGCCACAGTCCCCCTTTCCTTTCATCTGACACCAATTTACCTGACTTATGGAGACCCCGATGGCATTCATGACCCAAACTCTTCCTCGTCCACTCGCTCTTGTAACCAACACCCACCCTGCCAGGCACCACGCCAAGCCTGCGGGGGTGAGGGAGAAGGCCTCCTGGCCCTAGGGGGCCCCTGGTCACACGGAGAGGCAGACCTGCTCCAGGTGGCTTCGCTGCATGGTGTGTGTTGTCCTGGGGACGCAGGGAGTGTTAGGGGAGCAAGAAGAGCATGCAGTGGGGAGGGGGGTTCAGCTGGAGAAAGTGACATCTCCACTGGATTCTAGAGACTGGGCAGGAAGCAGGGGAGAAGGTGCAGATAAATGCAGAGCATGGCTGGCTGCCCACTTGTCTGGATGTTCCGGAGCCATGAATCTGGTTGGCAGGAGGAAGTGGATCTAGATATTGGAAGGCTCTGAGTTTAGATTTGGGGACTGGGAGCAGCTCCCGAGGGATTTTTATTTATTTATTTTTGGTACCGGGATTGAACTCAGGGGCACTCGACCATGGAGCCACATCCCCAGCCCTATTTTGTATTTTATTTAGAGACAGGGTCTCGCTGAGTTGTTTAGCGCCTCACTTTGCTGAGTCTGTCTTTGAACTTGCCATCCTCCAGCCCCAGCCTCCTGAGCTGCTGGGATTACAGGCATGGGCCACCACGCCCGCCCGACTTCCAGAAGGATTTTAAGCACAGACCGACAGGAGCAGAGGATTCCATCCCCACCCCCCCACCCCCACCCCACTCCAGCTCCTGCCCCATTTCTCCAAAGGTACCTACCTTTGCCAGGGAGGTACCCAGCAGGCTGGCTCCTGTTCTGCAGGCCTCTGATGGGCTTGATGATAACAAGTTCAAGAGCCAGAAAGAAGGCTGAGAGCGGGAATTCAGGCCTACCTTGGCCCCTGGCACCTCAGAATTGGCCCAGCCTCCACGAATCATTTTTGATGAGAGATTCTGGGAAGCAGGATGTTGACAAGGCCAAGTAAACTCCCTAAGGCCTGGAAGGAGCCAGAAAGCAGAAAGGGTAAGGCCCTCACCAGCTTCCCTCTGCTCACCGCGCTTCCCCTGCTTCTGAGCTACATCTCCAGCCCTTTATATTTTGAAACAGGGCCTCCCTAAGTTGCTGAGGCTGGCCTTGAACTTCCAGTCCTCCTGTCTCAGCCTCCCGAGTAGCTGGAATTACAGGCACCAGCTTGTCCAATCCCTTTCTTTGCAGATTCCATTGTCCCTCCCCCTCCCAGCTAGGGATCTGACAATTACCTTGGGGGATGTTCTCCCAGCTCTTGAGTCAGGCCTGACAGAGGACGATTTTGAGAGCAACCTATGAGACCCCAGTTCCTATTCCTTCCCTTTCAGCTAAGCATCAAGGCATGATGGCAGAACAGGTAGATCGGGGGGTTTGTTTTGTGTCGCAGTATTAGTGATGCTCTGCTAATGAGCTACATCCTACCCTCCCTTAACCCTCCCCTCATATCCTTAGCCTTTTTTATTTTTTATTTGGAGACAGTCTTGCTAAGTTGCCCAGGTTGGTCTTGAACTTGTCATCCTCTGGCCTCAGCCTCCCAAGTAGATGGGTACAGGGGTGCAACAGCACACCCACTTGTTTTTATGTTCATTGATTTTTTTTCTTAAACTAGGAATTGAGCCCAGGAGTGCTTAACTGCTGAGCCACATCCCCAGTCCAGCCCTTTTTATTTTAATTAATTAATTTTTAAATTAGTTAATTAATTTTTGGTATCAGGGATTGAACTCAAGGATACTTACCCATTGAGCCACATCCTCAGTACCCCCCCCTTTTTAAAGTATTTTTTTAGTTGTAGTTGGACACAATACCTTTATTTATTTGTTTGTTCATGTGRTGCTGAGGATCGAACCCAGTGCCTCACCCGTGCTAAGCAAGCATTCTACCACTGAGTCACAACCCCAGCCCCCAGCCCCAGTCCTTTTTATTTTTTATTTTGATACAGGGTCTCACTAGGTTGCCTACAGCCTAAGTTGCTGAGGCTGGCTTCGAACCTCAATCCTCCTGCCTCAGCTTCATGAGCCCCTGGGATTACAGGTGTGCACCACCATACCCAGCTTTATTTATTTTTTTTATTTTGAGTTAGGGTCTCACTAGGTTGCTTAGGGCCTCACTAAATTGCTGAGGCTGGCTTCGAACCTGTGATCCCGCCTCATCCTCCAGGAGCTGCTGGGATCATCCAATCCTGGTTTTGCCAGTCATTGACTAGAAGACCTTGTTACCTGGCTTCTGTGTACCTTGGTTTGCTGCCTGTAAAATGGGGACGGTGCTACTGGCCTTTCAGAATTATTGTGCCAATTGAATAAAGTCAGGAGTGCCAAGCACTTGGCACAAGTATGTTCCTTCCCAACACTGGACACTGGTGTCCACGGTGGAGGGTGGTGGGGACGGGGTGAAGGTGGATATTGAGTGGGTCACGTAGTTTCAACATATTTCTGCAGAGAAAGCACTTGCAAAGGTTTGGATGGGTGACAGGGCAAAATTGGAGAATATTATGTCCCAAGCAGTTTGCTGTGCCTGGAACGAATGCTGGTCAAGACAAGGAAGAGACCAAAAATGATCATCTGGGATGAGGATGGGAAAGGCCTTGAGCCAGGCTCAAGGGAGGGGGCTCCGCCTGCAGTCCTGCTGGCATGTGGCATGGCAGTCACGGCTGGGGGCCATGTGATTCATATGGACCTGGACTCGAATTCCAGTTCTGCCGCTTGGGCAAGTCCCTTAAGCTCTGTCTTAAGGAGTTCCCGCTCAAGCAGGCCCTGACACTTGGGTGCTGGGACTAAATTTGGGAAGTGATTTTAAGAAGCAGAAGTGAAGGCTAAGAAAGTTACGGTAACGGGRGCACATCAGTGTGCAGTTGTCCTCCAGGTTGAGTCCCAGCCCAGGAGCCTGGGGAGAGGTGTGAGCCCCACATCAGAACCACGCTMTCTGAGCTGGGGAGGATGGGCTGGGTACCAACTCCCTTGATGGTTGAAGGTGGCCCTTGGGGTACGGGACACCTCTCCCTTTTGCCTGGTCCCCAGATGCCTAAGCTGAATGAAGCAGGACCGTGAGTTGGCAGCTCAGCTCGCTAGAGGCAACCACCAGGGAACTCAGAGAAGGAAAGAGGGTGGGGCAGCTGTCAACAGCACCTTCTGTTACCTCTTTGAGCATCTGTCTTCTCATCGGAAAACACAGGAAGAATTTTTTTTTTTAATCTTAAAATGGGAAGACACACTTCACAGGAGGATTCAGTGAGGAAACATACTTGAAAGGACCTAATGAGATGTGTGACACATGGTAAATCATTAATACGTGGTAGATAACGCTGGGCTCAGCTCAACCACCAACTTCTCAGAAACTCCCTCCCTGACATCCTGTGGAGAGCGGCTTGCTCCCTTTGTTCTCCACCAGGACGTCCTGTTTTCTACAGAGAATGCATGACAGCATGCAACTGTCTTGGTTAGATGCTGTTTATTTCATCTGTCTTTTCTCACTAGAATGAAAGCAGCCTGAGGACAGGGAATCCATCTCTCCTATCCATTACTTTACACCCAGCCCTGGGCCCAGTGCCTGGGGCATACTAGGTTCTCAATCAATCTTTTTTGAATGGAAGAATTATTGCAGAAACAATAAAGAAAGACAGTTACTGTTCTTKACCTTGTACTAAGCACATACTCTATTAATAACAAGTTCAAGAGGATCATCTGGACTCTAGCTGGGTCCCCGTGCYGAAAATAGTAGGTACGGCTCTAGTCAGAGTGACTCAGGTCAGTTCCTGCATCCTGGTGGACTGCCCACTAGGCTGCAGTGCAAGAAGTTGTAAGAGCACTGAGSGGCTTCAGCTTAGGACATGGGTGTTTGGGGAACACTTGTTTGAAGGTAGAATTTWAAAAGAATAAAGCTATTGTATAATTTTGCCCTTTCTCACCATCAGTGATGAGGCTCATGTGATTTGAAAATTTAGTGAAAATAAGTGATTAAAATGGGGATTCAAGTTGGRTACACCGGTAATCCCAGTGACTTGGGAGGCTGAGGCAGGAGGATCACAAGTTCAAAGCCAGCCTCAGCAACTTAGTGAGACCCTATCTCCAGATAAAATATCAAAAGGGCTGGGATGTGGCTCCATGGTTAAGCACCCATGGGTTCAATCCCTGTTATCAAACAATAACAAAAAAAAAAAAAAAAAAAACTTGGGATTGAACACAGGTACACTACATTCCCATGAGCTGCATTTTCAGCCCTTTTTTATTTTTTTATTTCGAGACAGGGTCTCACTAAGTGGCCTAGGCTGGCTTCAAACTTGCAGTTCTCCTGCCTCAGCCTTCCAAATAGCTGGAATTACAGGTGTGCACTACGGGGGCCCGGTTTAAAATTATTTTTCTTAAAGAGCATGCTCTCAAAATTGTATAAGCTTCAGCCCCACAAAACCTAGATCCACTTTTGTCTTCCATAAAACCCAAGAAACCAGGGATCCATGGGTTTTAGTCCATTTCATAAATCCACCACAGGAACACTACTGTTATCCCAGTGGAAGAAATGGAGGCTTAGATGGTAGTCCTTGTCCCAGGTCTCAAGGCCAGTAGGTGGCGCAGCTGCACATTCAACAGTCTGGGGCTGGGGTGCAGCTCAGTGGAGGAGCATGCGCTCTGTAGGCAAAGGCCCTGGGTTCCACCCCAGCACTAGGGAAAAGTCTCAATCTCTTGTCTCCAGATCTGACCCTTAGTTGTCTACCTTCCCCACTCACYATGAGGTCTCCAAGGACACAGGAAAAATCACTGATATACACCTGGCCACCAGCCCAGAGGAGGAGGCACCAACACAGGTTGACAGGTAAGAAAGAGAAAAGCAGCCTGTGGTCCTGACACCCGGCTGGATTCAGTGTTCCCCTGTTGAACCCAAATTTCACAGAGAATCAGTGGCAGGTAAGGCCACTCAGTGACTGTGATGGGTCATGTCACAAACAGGATACTCTCTTACCATGACTAGCATGGACAAAACATGAACATTGCTTAAACCAGAAAAAAAAAAAAAAAAAAAAGGATCAGCCATCCCTTTTCATTTTTTATTTTGTGACAAAATCTCACTACATTGCTAAGCAGATTGCTAAATTGCTGAGCCTGGCTTGGAATTTGTGATCCTCCTGCCCTAGTCTCCCAAATCACTAGGATTCCAGGCATGCAATGCACTTAGCTAGATGTCCTTTAAGCTCTTCAATCATAAAACTCTCCCTTCTTCATTTAAAAAAAAWTTTTTTTTAGTTGTTGATGGACCTTATATTTATTTATATGTGGTGCTGAGAATCAAACCCAGTGCTCTAAGCATGCTAGGTAAGTGTTCCACCACTGAGCCAAAAACCCCAGCCCTTCCCTTTGCTTCCTGACAGCATCCAACCAAAGCAAAGCCCCGCTTCCTTAAAACCTTTCCAAAATTACCTAACGAAAGCTCCAATTCTGTAAGAAGTCCTTTCCAACATCCTCTTACTGAAATGTCCTGTGTTTCCCCCAGCACATGCATTCTCTCTCAGTGAAATAAGAAGGGACGCAGTAGTTTAGATATAGGTATGTTCCTGATGGTCTTTGATTGAGTGGCATAGATGCAGGTATCATTCTTTAATGGACCATTGAAGACAAAATATCACTGCCCAAAGTTACAAAATGTTGCTCCCCAAAACTGGTTGAGAATGGGAGAAAGAAAAAAATAGCAGTTCCCTCCAGGGAGTGGTTAGTTTTAAACTGAGAAGGCTACCTTTTAGGATACTGGAAATATTCTGTTTTGAAGTAGGTGGTAGTTTCAACAGAATGTTTTGGGGAAAATATTGAGCTGTACACTTCAGACTGGTGTGCTTTAGGACAGATATGCTGGTGCACACCTGTAATCCCAGCAAATGGGGAGGCTGAGGCTAGAGGGTTGCAAGTTTGAGGCTGGTCTCAGCAATTTAGCAAGACCTTTTTTCAAAATAAAGTAAGTAAATAAATCAAAAGGGCTGGGGATGTAGCTCAGCGGTAAAGTGCCCCTGGATTCAATTCCCAGTACAAAAAAGGAAGAAATGTAATTAGATGTTTATCTGTTGTAATTTGATTAAACAAGTGTTGTCCACCAACTTCAGCAGGTAGGGGAAAGACAGGAAATCTAAAGCTGGTACCCAAATACCAATTTAAAAAGGTAAAGGTCTGAGTTGGGATGGTGGCTGACTTGAAGGGGAGTCTTGGGCTACCAGAGTCTGAGATCTGTGACGAATAGGCTGGAAAATGGATGATTTGCTGAACACTTAAAAGCATTTTGTTCATTCCAGAAAAGAAAAGAAAATTGAATGTAATCATTTTATTTTGCAACAGGAAAGAGTTTGATTGGGACCAAGGAAGATCTTCCTAAAAACGACAAACGAGATAAAACAGACTGGGACATCCCGGGAAATTTTTAATTCAGCAGGCCAGCAAATGGCCCCAGTATGCCTTGAGACAAAGTCTCACTACATTGCTAAGCAGATTGCTAATTTGCTGAGCCTGGCTTGGAATTTGTGATCCTCCTGCCCCAGCCTCCAGGAATAGAAGACTGAAAGAAATGACCTCCAGCTGTCCCGCTCATGACGAGGGACTCTGATTTGTCATGAGTGTTCTGGGCCAGCTACACAGCCTCTATCAGTTAGCCAAAGGTAGTCCTGTTCTGATTCACACTAAGCTTTTTATGTATTGTGGCCTGTGCCACCAACTACAGCTTTAATCAAATCCGGGCTTAGTCACCATAGTGCAGTATGTCATCGCCCTCCTGATGACTTTATCTTGACTCCCAGAAAGATGATAGTGGTGAGAGTGTTCCAGGGGAGAGAAGCCTAAAGAAACCTAGGGCGGAAACTAGACACTGGTGAATTTTGTGGGGACGCGGATAGAACAYATAGAGGACTCCTGATCTCAAGGAGCTCACAATCCATTGGAGAGTTAAGACCTCCAACCTGATAGATAGTAGTGAGGATAAAGCCTCCAAACAAAAGGTGCATGCAAATGTCCCAGCAGAGATCCTCTGGGACAGGGAAGCTTCAAGGAGAGGGGGAACTTGGAGGAACTTCAAAGGCAGAACAGGATTAGAGGGTCCACCAGGCAGGGCAGAGWATTTGTTGGTACCAGGGTACCTGGTGGAGGGGGACAGCCTATGCATCCCGAGAATTTGGAGGGGAGACAGTAGTCGCGGACAGGGCAGTTGAAGCGGGGAGAGGCTTCCTGTCTGGGAGTAGCAAASAGCAATGCCAACAGGGTGCGGTTAGGAAGGACCTTGAAGGCCAAGCTAAGAAGTTGGGACCYCATTCATAGGTCGTGGAGAGCTGTTGGGTTTCTGAGCGGCATGARTGATCCGAGTTTCTTATGGAAGTTTGCCGGTGGGGCCCTGCCTACCTCTCCCATGCACCTCCCCCGTTTAGTCCCTCACACTCTGTGCTCTGGCCAGCAATGAACTTTCCACGCAAACTGTCCTAGGCACTCTTCGCGCTCCTGGTACTCCCAGCTAAGTTCTTGGCATCAAGTCTCAATTTTCCCATCCCTTCCTCTAGGGAGCCTTGGGGACACAGCTTTCCCCCAAGCCTGGGCAGGTGCCCCACATCAGTCCCCCACACTCGCGGTTTCTCCCATTATTAGAGTGCGTGTCGCTGTGTTGTCATTATTCCTTTGTCTGAATCCTCTGCTAGATGGATTCGGTTGAGGCTAGAGACAGCATCTCATTCGCCAGCGTGTCCCTAGGAATCAGCATAGGGCAGTAAAACCGGGATGCTCGGAGGGGTTGGACCCGCTGATCTCGCAGGTTCCTCCCTAGTTGGGTCTCTAGGGAGTCTCTTGCGAAGGACAATGGAAATTACAGGTGTCAACAGGTGTAGGCTTGTAGGGAATGTGCCCCTAATTGGAATGATCAGTCTCATCTTCAGGAAGCAAAATTTATGGAAACAAAGAACCTCCTCCCCACCTCCCTGAGAGTAAAGCGAAGCCAGGATCGTTTCCAGGCACGCCCGCGAACTATTTGAGAGACCTTCAGGCGGAGGGTTACTCTCTGGGACTATAAACGGTAACCCTCCGCTCGAGACCACCTCGCCGCGGTTTCTGCTCAGACCGCCAGGGGGAGGAATCGCACCGCACCTTGGGCCTTGGGCGGTTTCGCCCACCCGCGGGCGCGTAGGACTCTGGGAATTGTAGTCTTAACGGTTGCGATGCTTGAGTGGGCGCGGTGCCCACCGGGAATTGTAGTTCCGTACCCAGAGGTGGGAAACGCTCTGAAAAGCGTCCATGTCGAGTCCTGGAAACTACAATTACCAAAGGGCCATAGGACCCTGGGCGGTTTCTCTTTTCCGTCGAGTGAAACGTCTGAAGTTGCTTCTGAGGGATCACCTTGACTGGGTAAGTTGGTTGGAGAAAGTTCTCTTGGTGAACTGAGCTGGCTGCAGACTTTTTCGTACTCCAGCCCGGTTTGGGGCTCCCTTGCCTCTCGATGCCGGGAACCTCACCTTGACCTTTAGTCTTCGTGCCCCTCCCCCCCCGTTCCCTCTTCAGACACCTCTGGTTTCCCACCCACACGCTAAATCCTCGCACTGTCAAACTCGCGCGCCCCGAAATCGTTTCTCTCGGCGCAGCCTCGCGCTCTGTGCGCTTCGCCCCGTGGTTTTCAGGCAGGTGGGTGGGTCCCTATTTCCTTTGCCGTGAGCTTTAAGTCGGCCAGTGTGGTTCTCACCCAGCCCAGCCTCTCCCTCTGTGGCCTCCCTGGGACCCGCTTTCTTCCTCTCTAATCTGGAGGTGGCCGTCAGCCTGAGGGCGAGGTTGGGTTGAAGAGCTGGCCGGGGTGTGAGTGGATCTGTAAACCGTCAGGTCTCCACCAACGACATCGACGAGACCTCATCGAGGCTGCTTTTCTAGACCCAGCAAGCTCGTTGCTCAAGCGCGTCCTTTTGGACGCGAYGTCTCCATTTAAAAGCAGGGTGAGATTTCCTCACTTCCTCCRGAGACCGAAGGTCACACAGTGAACTTTTAGTATCCCAGGGGCCCTTGTCTGAAAGGAAGGCTGCTAGAGAGGCGCTTATCTTGGATTCTGTCCTGAAACAGCCAGTGATGAAAGGTTCACCTGGCTGGCAGAGAGGCCGCCCCTGCTCCCTAGAAGCAGGGCCCCAGCAGGACAGCTGCAGCGTGAGCCCYGTCGATGCCCTTTGAGCTCTCTGGGGCCTGTGTAGTAACCCTGGCTTTGGCAGGGTGACTGAGACCTGAGAAATCCACTTTACTGGAGGGTATAATCCAGGAAAAATCAAAGAGACCTTGGCTGGGTATGTTGAAAGAGAGACTTACCAATTTTATATTTCACTTATGAAATGTCCCCATTTTACATATAAAACAACTTAGGCTCAGAGAGGCCATGTAGTTAGTTAAAATAACTATAGGTGTAGCTACCTTCCGAGGCTCTAGTGCTCTCTGTATGTCAGGGGGCTTCAAATACATTACTTAATCCTCTTCAACAGCCTCATGAGTAGTGTTATTTCTATCATGTGGTTAATTCTTAGAGGTTTAGAGTTTAAGGAACTTGCTCAAGATCTCACAGCTGCCAGGCATGGTGGCGCTCGCTTGTAATCTCAAGGGCTCAGGAGGCTGGGGCAGGAGGATCACGAGTTCAAAGCCATTCTCAGCAATTTAGTAGGCTCTGCCTCTAAATAAAATATAAAAAAGAGCTAGAAATGTGTCTTAGTAGTTAAGCACCGCTGGGTTAATCCCTGGTACCAAAAAAAAAAAAAAAAAAAAAACCTCGTAGATAATAAGAACCAGAGGAATTCAGTTACCAAAGCCTTTCTTTTCCTACTATGCCACATAGTTTTATTTTTAGATAAAAAGATTAAAAAAGAATTGAGGGGTCTGGGGTTGTGGCTTAGCGGTAGGGCACTCACCTAGCATGTTTGAGGTGCTGGGTATGACCTCAGCACCACAGAAAAATAAAAATAAATAAAGGGATTTTAAAAAAATTGAGGGTTTAAGTCAAAGTCAAGGAAAGAAACATTTATTGAGTCCCTATTCTGGGAAAACATGGATAAATGGTTTGGCCTACAAAGAAGTATAAAACAGTCTTTTTAAACTTTCTTTTAATTTTTTAGTTATAGTTGGACACGATACCTTTATTTTATTTTTATGTGGTGCTGAGGATCGAAGTCAGGGCGTCGCCTGTGCTAGGTGAGTGCTCTACCACTGAGCTACAACCCCAGTCCAAAACACAGTCTTTATCCCTGGAATATATCTAAAAGTTTTAACTGTGGGAAAATTTAAAGAGCATTCATTGAATAAATTAATTATTGAGACCAACTGTGAAAAGGGCACTACATTAAGCCTAGTGACTGGTAGGAACTTACTTTTGGGGTGGCCATTGGCGATTATACCCGGTGAAAACTTAGTCATAAAAAACAGGGGACTAGAATACAGGGTACTGTCAGTGTTCATTGCATGCACACAGGTCTGAACAGAAAAAAGACCTCTCACTATCTAGACCAGGTGATCAGAAATACCAGGAAGCTTTTAAAAAACTTAACTGGGGGCCGGGCACGGTAGTGAATGTCTGTAATCCCAGTGACTCGAGGCTGAGACAGGAGGATCACAAGTTCAAGGCCCTAAGCAACTCAGTGAAACCCTTCTCCCCCCCCCCAAAAAAAAAAAACCCAAACTAATTGGGGGCTAGGGTGTAGCTTAAGTGGCATGCCAAGCATGCATGGAGCTGTGGTTTTATTCCTAGCACCTCAAAAAAACCATAACCATATTGACCTCTGAGAATGGAGACCCTAGAATATACTTTTTTGTCCACAGTTTGGGGAGGGACCCAGGGATTGAATCCAGGGGCATTTAACCAGTGAACCATATCCTGAGCCCTTTTTATTTATTTATTTTTATTTTGAGACAGTCACTAAATTCCTGAGCCTAGCCTCAAACTTGCAGTCCTCCTGCCTCAGCCTCCCAAATCGCTGGGATTACAGGTGTAGCATGCCTGGCTAGAATATACATTTTTGAAGTTGCCTGTGTGAATGGGATCTAGGCCAAGGAATACCTGAGCTACATTCCACAAGGACCACTGTTGGAGGCAGGTCACTGTTGAAAGCTGCTAGAAGAGCTGCCTAAAGCAGCCCTGTGATTGGATTCTAGACAAGAGATGGGGACTGTGCTCAGAAATTTAGAGGAGGAAATGTTGGAAAGACTTGGGAAATATCCCCAGAGGACATGGTGACCTCACTGGGCCTGGATGGATGGAGAAGCTCCTGGACAGGAAAAAGCCTACCATGAACTGTTCAGGCAAGAGGAGCAAAAGAAGCAGAGACACCTGCACCGATTTCCTTGGAAAATTCCACAGTGTTTTTAGAAAGGACTCTGGATGCTCTGGGTGGATTGTCTTCAGTAAAATTGGTCAGGTTGGGGTTTTCCATCTCATTCTACCTGAGCACCGGTCAGTGTGAGCGTAGGGAATACAGATTCATCTCTTCATGAAAGCCTCACTCTGGCCAATAATCTTTTTTCTTTATTTCCAATCAGAATTCAATTGATGACCTTCTCAGAAGTTTGCCAGGGATATCAGAAACACCTGCTCCCCTCCGGGCCGCTGTTTCCAAATCCACTTATCTTGCCACCTGTCCCACGCGCTGCTCCCTGTGTAGGATGAGACGAAAAATCTCTTCCCATAAGAAGCTACTGATCACTGAATCCTGAAATCTGACTGTCTTTGGCTCTCCCTTCTCCCTTGATTTCTCCAAACCCATACAGTTGCCAAGTCCATTTGGGGAGGAGGGTGGTATACTGGGCATTGAATCTAGGGGACTCTACGACAGAGCTACATCCCTAGCACTTTTTATTTTTTTACTTTGACACACTGTTTTGCTATGTTGCTGAATCTGGCCTGGAATTTGCGATCCTCCTGCCTTAGCCTCCCTGCAATAAAGAATTTTTTCTTGGGCAGTGCTGGGGATGAATCAGGGCCCCACACATGCTAGCCAAGGGCTCTACCGCTGAGTTACCCTCCCAGCCTTTTCCAAAACCTGTTGTTTTTTCAATCAACAGATATTTTCTGGAGTCTTGCTAAGAACCAGGTAGAATGCCAGGTGTTTTCAGTGTATTATTTCATTTTAACTCCTAGTGTCCCTATGAGGATGGGAAATGAGGCTTACGAGGAGAGGTCAGATGACTTGTCCAGGGGAAGCAAGCTAGGCCGCAATGGAGCTGCACCCCAAGAGCAGGTCTTTCAGATGTGGTTTCTTGTGCAGCCGCCCTTGGACATCTGCCAACTCATTTCAGAGCAGAGTGGCACTCCTTAGCCTAGCTACCCTTCAGCTTGCTCCTCTCCCCTTCTGTCCATCATTAGCCACTCCCCGTTTCTCATTCTCAGCACACTGCCTTTGTCCACTGTTTTTCCTACTTGAACATCAGCCTTTCCTGTTTCCCCCTGCTCCCAAGCTCAGGGAGCACTCTGTCCCCTCAGAACCCCTGCTATCTGTCTCTTATGACAGAACTTGGCAGTTGCTTCACTGTCATGTGGGTGGCATGCTTCTCGTGACCCAACCGTGCTGTGTGTCCATCAGCAACAAGGGCAAAGGTCAGGGCCTGAGGCTAAGAAGCTCTGGTTAACCACTGATTACATCAGGAGCTTAGCATCCTTTTAAAGAGAATTGGGTTGATTTTCAATATTTTTTAAGATGGTGTCTTCCAGTGTTGCCCAGGCTCACCTTGAACTTGTGGAATCAAGTGGTCCTCCCATCTCAGCCTGCCAGAGTGGGATTCTTTTAAGATTTGCTTCAGAGAAGCAAAATGGAGTTAAGTCTATGGTACAAATAAAATGAGACTGAGAGCATAGCTATCTTAGTGATAGAGCGCTTGCTTAGCCTGTGTAAGGCCCCAAGTTCCAACTCTAGCTCTGTAAAAAAAGAAAAGAAAATTGTTAAATAGAATGATACTAGGATTATTTGGGGTGTCCATTGGACCAGGCAGTTGGAAGTTGGAGAGCAGGAGATGTGTGTTTAATAATGATTCTGCTTGTGACCTTGAGCAGCTCACTTAATCTCTCAGGATCTTGGCTTCTTCAGTAAAGTGCATGTATGTACCAGGCCAGGGACGGGGAAATGATCTTGGGAGGATTGGCAGGAGCAATTTCTGAGGACTTTTCTTGCCTAGGCGTGCTTGGACTTGAACTCTCTGAACCCTCTGAGAGCATCTTGCAGGAAGCAGAGTAATACAGTAATTAATAACGGGGAATGCTTTTAGCTGCTCTTGATTGCAAGCAAGAGGAATCTAAATTCTGTTGGTTTATTAGTTGTTGTTGTTTATTTTGCAGTGTTGGGGACCAAACTCAAGGCCTGGTGTGTGCTGTTGGGAATGTATTGACCCKGGTGATCAGAAAGTCCAGGAATGGGTCAGGTTTCAGTTATAGTCTAATCCGGGGACTCATTTCCCTGTGGTTTTCTCAGCTCTGCCATCTGTGAATGGAGGAAATAGAGGGGCGAGGTGGCACAACAGTGACACAGGTTTATTCATGACAAAGCTGTGGAGGGGGCCCGGTGGAGACTGACACCTGTCTTCTACTCAGCCTGGGCCAGACACAGGGGCAAGAGGGAGTGGGGGAATTTTTGCAGTTGTGCCATTGCTAGGAGATTGACCCAAAGGACGTCACCTCTATTCTCTGAGGTGCTCACCGTTCCAAGTGTTTTCAGGGTTCCTGTCCCAGATAACCATGTCCTTTTTTTGTACAACAATGAAGTCTTGTCTGGGGCTTAAGGTCAGGCTGAGTCAGAGTGACCACAAGGTGATTCTTATTCTAAGATATATTTCAAAATAGCGTTGCTGTGTCAGGTTCTGCCTAATGCTATCCACCATGGTAGCTTCATTGGCAAAGTATCTACAGCAGTTCAAGGCCAGGTGACCTGTGACATCTACATTTCACACTAGTGCAAAACAACAAAGAACTTTACTCCCCTCAACCATCAAACCAAACTAGCATTAATATTTGAGGTCAGCGGTGTTGTGTGTGTCCGAGTGTCCCCCACGAGCAGGGTCAGTCGTGGCTAAGAGCTCCGTGCCTGGCTCTGGCAGACCTGTGTGTGCTCCTGAGTGAGGTAATTTGGGAAAGTTATTCAACCTCTCAAGCCTCAGTTTTCTCATCCATAAAAGTGGATCTCAATACTGCCTACCTCCAAGAGTTGTTGAGAGAATGAAAGGAGCTCATGGATGTGAGGAGCGTAGCTCAGTGCCCACAGGGTGACTGCTACAGTAGCCTGTGGAGGGCAGGTCTGTGTCGAGGTCTCTGCCACAGTTATCCCTGCACTTGCATACAATAGGTGCTGCATAAACACTTATTGGAAGTCTTCAGTTCCCACTTTCTTTCTTTCTTTTCGAAGTGCTGGGGTTGGAACCCGGGGCCTGTGCACGCCAGGCAAGTGCTGCATCCCCAGCTCTTGGCAGGTTTGAAGATGGAAGTTCTTTCTCCTCTTCACCACCATCTCCTCACCTCCCCAGAAAGAAATGCAGCCCCTCTACCTTAGCAAATGATTTAATGAGTGACTGGCAGGGAGGATGGGGAGGTGAGGGGTGAGGGGAYGGAGCTGCAGTGGCACATGACTCATGAGCAGCAAAAAGCCAAGAGGAAACCAGCAAGAGGCTGTTCTGTGTTCCACCCTCCAGCCGTCAAGTTCAGCACCGCCCCAGTCATAGGATCAGTTGTCGTTGAGATGGGGACCAGCCAGTCGGTGTGCTTCCCACCTGTCTCAGGACCCCACCTTGTAGGCTGTGGGGATGTGATGGAGGGTCAGAGTCTCCAGGTAGGTGTCTGCAGCTCCTCCCCTACACGTCTCCCCTGCTTCTGTCTGTGCTGTGTCTTTTTTATTTAATATTTATTTTTTAGTTTTAGGTGGATACATATCTTTATTTTACATTTATGTGGTGCTCAGGATCGAACCCAGTGCCTCGCGCATGCTAGGTGAGCGCTCTACCACTGAGCCACAACCCCAGCCCCCCTTTTTTTTTTAATTTTTAATATTTATTTTTCAGTTTTCGGCGGACACAACATCTTTGTTGGTATGTGGTGCTGAGGATCGAACCGGGGCCGCACGCATGCCAGGCGAGAGCGCTACCGCTGAGCCACATCCCCAGCCCCCCAGCCCCTTTTTTATCTTTTATTTGCATTTATTTTATCTGAGTTTATTCCTGTGCCATAGTTTTTGCTTCTTCAGTTTTTTCTGGGATGCCTTTACTTTCTGTGCAACCTTCTCTTCTGGTTTAGAAACAGTTTGTTCCTTTTCAGTGAGGATCCTCTGGATGGGGCAGGGAGCTCAGGTGTGGGTTAATCCAGACGTCTGTAAGGACAGCGGTGCACCTTGGGTGCTCTGTTCCATGGATATGTTCAAAGACCGAGAATCTACATCTAAACCCTTGAGTTCAGTGTCACTCTCTGCATTTTTTAGCAGGTGCAACAAAAATTCAGCATTCTTTTTGGGCCACCGACCCTGTGTCCAGCCCTGTTTGACCTGCACACTCCTCCCAATTCCACCATTGTAACTCCGGAATGGCGCACATCCCTTCTTTAAAGTAACGCCTTGCACGGGCTTGGTGGCTTTTCGGATATGTACCCTTGAAGGCCTATGTGGTTTCATGAATCTTCTTAAAATGAACATGAAGATCTGAACCTCATGATTTTGTGGGGTTTTCAGGGTCAAGAGAGTAGGGAACCATTTTCACAGATCATCTCAGGCCACTGAGAGGAGCTGTTGCTTGGTCTTCATGGTCACGGTTGAGAGTGCGCAGTTCCAGGTGGGGAAGCTGAGCTAGCGCTGGTCTGGATTTGGTTATCAGCCCCCAGGGCTGTCTTCCTCTTATCAAGTACCAGACACTTCCCATTTGACCTAGATGAAGTGTTCTTTCTTCAGCCAGGAGGAAACGGGGGCGGGGCCCTAGCTCAAGGGGCAGCTCCCAGCTCCTCCCTCCTGTCTGGAAAGCAGATGCCTGACCCACCCCGAAAGGTTTTCCATTTCATCCTTATGGGAGTTGGTGAGAGGAAGAAGAGTGAGCCACGTGCCATTGCCCTTGACTCCCCAACCTGGGTGCGAACTTGGTGGCCCCATCTCTCCTGCCTCCATCTGCTCCTTCTGGACTTTCCTTCTACCAGTTTTTAGGTTTGTTGGTTTGTTTTTTGGCATCAGGGATTGAGCCCAGGGGTGATTTACCCCTGAGACACATCCCCAGCCCTTTTTACTTTTTATTTTGAGGCAGAGTCTCAGTGAGTTGCTTAGGGCCTCACTGAGTTACTGAGGGCCTCATTGAGTTGCTTTGAACACGAGATCCTCCTGCCTCAGCCTCTAAAGTGGCTGGGATTATAGGCAGGTATCACCAAACGTGGCCAGTTTCTAGGGTTTACTCTGCTGGCTCCTGGTTTCCTCGTGAGAGGCACCCACTTTTAGTAATCCCTCACCTTCTCCTGTGTAAGATGAGTTCGTCCTGAGAGTTAGCCTAGAGGACTAACTAATCATGGGCCTGTGTGACCCATTATTAGTGCCTCATTCAGCACAAGGGCAAATCTCCACTCCCATGGCTCCTCCAGGCCTGGGCTCAGGACCAGATTTAAATCTTTTACAACACAATGCCTTTATTTTTATGTGGTGCTGAGGATTGAACCAGGTCCCGCCCGTGCTAGGGTGAGCACTCTTTCGCTGAGCCACAATTGCAGCCCCAGATTTAAATCTTTTTATGTCCTAAGCACTCGAAGTATTTTGGCACCCCCCCATGTCATTCAGAATACCACGAGCTATTTGAAATAACATTTTTCATGTATGCTAAATTCCTTTTTTTCTAAATGTAAAATTCAGGTGTGTCATTGAAGCTTAAGGTTCCCTGTGTGGATGCCCTGCCTGCCTGGTGCCCTAACGGGAGATCCAGAGGTGCCTGGGCTTCTTGCTCTGAGCAGCTGCTCTCTTCTTTCCTGCAGGGGAGCTTCTTTCGACTCTTCTACCCCTGCCAAGAGTCAGAGGAAACTGTGGAGCAGCCCCTGTGGATCCCCCGCCCTGAGTACTGCGCTGGCCTGGCCGATTACCTGAGGTTGAATAAGCGCTGGGTGGGGTTGCTGTTCAACCTGGCTATGGGTAAGGCTAGCCCCGTGCTTTCCCAGCTGCTTGGTTATGTCCCTAGGCTGTCCCCAGGTAGACACAATACCTTTAAGCTTGCAGAGTCCAGCCCTTTTGCAGTGGGTGGGTGTGCAGAGCTTGGCCATTGAGTAGCGCTCTCCTGGGCTCTGAATCCAGGCTCTCTGATTTACTAGTCGTGGGGCTTGGGCACATTCCCTGATCTGTCTGAATACCTGCCTTTGTGGGGTCACAGTGTGGGAGGTGTGGGGTCAAAGCCTCTGGTGTAGTGCTTGGGATGCGGGATGCCTGCCTAGGTGGCGGGTCTGGCTGTTTGTCCAGCAGGTGCTCACTGCCAGCCATCCTGCAGGTTGGCCAAGCTTCACTTCGGGGAGCAGGGTCTCCTGCAGTTCTCCCTCCAGGCCTCCCATCTTCTGGGCAGGGCCACACGAAATCATCCACCTCCCCCCAAGGATTGTCCAAGGTCCTCTGTCCACTCCTTGGCATCTCAAGGTTGCCAAGACTTGCTTAGCATTGTCCCCATGGATGATTTTTTTTTTTAAAGAGAGAGAGCGAATTTTTTTAATATTTATTTTTTAGTTTTAGGCGGACACAACATCTTTCTTTGTTTGTGGTGCTGAGGATCGAACCTGGGCCGCACGCATGCCAGGCGAGCGCGCTACCACTTGAGCCACATCCCCAGCTCCGATATTTTTGTTTTCTTGCCATCTTGGTAGTTGAGCCCAGGGTCTTTCTTGCTCAGGTGGGTGTTCCACCATGTAGCTACACCCCCAACCCCAGGCCTTTGATATATCTCCCCATTTTATGGGGTACAAGGGATTGAACTCAAGGGCACTTGTCCACTGAGCCACATCCTCAGCCCTATTTTTGTATTTTATTTAGAGTCAGGGTCTCACTGAGTTACTTAGCGCCTCACTTTTGCTGAGGCTGGCTTTGAACTCAAAATCCTCCTGCCTCAGCCTCCTGAACCGCTGGGATTATAGGCCTACTCCCATTTTTTTGTATTCCCTCTCCCTAGGGAAGAAAAGTGGAAAGCATAGGCTAGGTGATGATTGTCCTGGGATGCTCAGGGGTGGTTGGCGGGTTCCTCAGAGGGAGAGAACCCCTACCTATGCTGGGCTGCCCTCCTGGTGACAGCTCTGGGCAACCAGGGATTCTATAGCCTGTGTCTCTGCTAGGATCTTGCCGCCTGCCTGTTAGCTGGAACGGCCCCTTTAAGACGAAGGACTCTGGATACCCCTTGATCATATTTTCCCATGGCCTTGGAGCCTTCAGGTAAGAGCTTAGATCCCTGTCTGGGGAGACTTGGCCTAGTGACAGCGACAGCTGCTGAGTCTCAACTTATTCTCAAAGGGCAGAATGACAGACATGTCCATCTGCTAGCCGTCGTAGCTTCGTCTGCTCCGTGCTGTAGCTTCGGGTCCCCCTCCTCTGGAGGACCCTTCCCAGGGTTGCTGTGTGCAGCCTCCACGTCCTTCAGGTCCGTGTTCCACATCTGCATAAAGGTGTGTTTTCACCCTCTGTTCCCGCCCAGAAGTGCTAGAACTTTATATCTGGACAGCTATTCACTCAGCCTGTGTTGACCGCCTGCCCTGTGTGTGGCACTGGGTGTYGGGGAATGGGACAGGCTTGCTCCCTGTGCTCACAGCTAACAGCGTAGCTCAAACCCCCGCCCTGCCACTTGTGCCCCATGTGACCTTGGGAAAGTTGGGTAACTCTCTGAGCCTAGATTTCCACACCTACCAAACGGGGATGCCACTCCCAGCGGGTGGCTCGTTGAGGCCTCAGTTGGACGGGTGCCTCCTAGGTACACACTGGTGTCACTTCTCCTTTTCTTTTCTCTGTGTGGAGGGACATGGGGTGGCAGACTCCAAGACCTCTTCCACCAGACTCTCAGACATGATACCCACTGAGCATCGTTCCTGCGGGTGCTGCTTCCGCCCCACGGTGGGACCAGCTGAGCCTGTGATGTTTTCTGTGCTCTTCATCAACTGTCCCAGAGCCTCACGCATCTCGCAGGTTTCCTCATCGCCAGACCCTTGGCCGCGCTCCAGCTAAGGAGATGTTTTTGTTTTTGTTTTGTTTTTTCAGTGTTTGGGATGGAACCCAGGGTCTGTCTACCTCTGAACTACATTCACAGCCCTTTTTTCTTTTCCTCAACCATCCCAGGTAACTTTATTTCTAATATTTTGCAGAGGCATGAGTTACTACAATAATATTAACTCTAATACTTTTTTAAAATTTTTTATTTTATTTTATTTTAGTCATACATGACAACAGAATGTATTTTGACATATAATACATACATGGAATGTACATACATCAATCATGTTGTCTATTCTATTCTGCTGCCCTTCCTGTCCCCGCTACTCCTTCCCTCCTCTCCCGTCCTTTCTCTCTATCCAATCTAATGTGACACACTTTTTTTTTCTTTTTCTCATTACAACATCATATATGTATTCTGTAACAATGGGGTTCTCCTTCCATCTTCCGTGTAACTCCCTTTCTCCCTCCCATCTCTCTTCCCTATTTAGTGGTAGTCGTCTTCTCATGCTCTTCCTCCCTATCCCATTTTGAGTCACCCCCCTTAGAGAAGACATTCAGCATTTGTTTTGTAGGGATTGGCTAACTTCACTTAGCATAATCTGCTCTGATACTATCCATTTGCCTGCAAATGCCATGATCTTGTTATTTTTTAGGGCTGAGTAATATTCCATTGTGTATAAATGCCACATTTTTTAATCCATTCATCTATTGAAGGGCATCTAGGTTGATTCCACATTCTAGCTTTGTGAATTGTGCTGCTATAAACATTGATGTGGCTGTGTCCCTGTAGTATGCTCTTTTTAGGTCTTTTGGGTATAGTCTGAGAAGGGGAATAGCTGGGCCAAATGGTGGTTCCATTCCCAGCTTTCCAAGGAATCTGCATACTGCTTTCCAAATTGGCTGCACCAATTTGCAGTCCCAACAGCAATGTATGAGTGTACCTCCCCTCCCCCATCCTCGCCAGCACTTATTGTTGTCTGTCTTCATAATGGCTGTCATTCTTATTGGAGTGAGATGGTATCTTAGAGTAGTTTTAATTTGCATTTTTCTGATTGCTAGAGATGGTGAGCATTTTTTCATGTATTTGTTGATTGATTGTATATCCTCTTCTGAGAAGTTTCTGTTCAAGTCCTTGGCCCATTTGTTGATTGGGTTATTTGCTTTTTTGTTGTTTAACTTTTTGAGTTCTTTGTATACTCTAGAGATTAGAGCTCTATCTGATGTTTGAGGGGTAAAAATTTGTTCCCAGGATGTAGGCTCCCTATTCACCTCGCATATTATTTCTCTTGCTGAGAAAAAAACTTTTTAGTTTGAATTCGTCCCATTTGTTGATTCTTGGTTTTAACTCTTGTGTTATAGGTGTCTTATTAAGAAATTTGGGGCCTGCCCCCACGTGATGAAGGTTAGGGCCAACTTTATCTTCTATTAGCCGCAGAGTCTCTGGTCTGATTCCTAGCTCCTTGATCCATTTTGAGTTGACTTTTGTGCGTGGTGAGAGAAAGGAATTTAATTTCATTTTGTTGCATATGGATTTCCAGTTCTCCCAGCATCATTTGTTGAAGATGCTATCCTTYCTCCATTGCATGTCTTTAGCATAGCTCTTTAATATTTATTATTTCAAGACAGTGTCTTGCTCAGTTGCCCAGACTGATTTGAACTTGGGATCCTGCCTCAGCCTCTGAAATAACTGAGATATGGATTGCGGACGTGGCTCTCCTCATCCCGCTGGGGAGATCTCTTTTAAAACCAGAAATTATCTTGTTATTCAGCACCTTGAATGGTGCCTGGTATGTTGAAGATGCTCGATAAGTATTTGTTGAATGAGTAAATGAATGTCCCCCCCCCCTTAATTAGAACTTTTTTTTTTTTTTTTGGTACTAGGGATTGAACCCAAGGCACTTAACCACTGAGCCACATCCCCAACCCTTTTTTATATTTTATTTAGGGACAGGGTCTCACTGAGTTGCTAAGTACCTTGCTAATCTGCTGAGACTGGCTTTGAGCTCACCCTCCCCAGTTGCTGGGATTACTGGCATGTGCCACCATGCCTGGCCCCCTAATTAGAATTTTTTAAAAGCTCTTTGAACTTAATTCAGTTCTTTTCATGGTCTTACCTGGATGCAGGTCCAAGGCAGTTTGCAGCCTCATATCTTGCTATTTACCCATTCCAGCTCTCCAAACAAATTGGCCTTTCACTTAGTTAAAAAACACTTACTTAAAAACGTGTTATTTCCTGCCTGGGGGCCCTCGTCTGGTGTATTTTGAGGTCTTTCCCTCTGCCTAGAATCTTCTCACTGTTCTGTTCATAGGTTCCTCTTTCCCTGCTCCTTCTTTTGCCTGGCTAATTCCCAGTTACCCTCAGGGTCCTCGTTTAGAGGTCAGCTCCATAGGACACCCCTCCTGACCCTCACATTATCTGTGTACTTCTCAGTACTTGTCATAATTATGATGAACTTATTTATGTTAATCATTCTTTTTCTTTAAATATTTATTTTTTAGTTGTAGTCGGACACAGTATCTTTACTTATTTACTTATTTTTATGTGGTGCTGAGGATCGAACCCAGGGCCTCACATGTGCTAAGCGAGCGCTCTACCGCTGAGCCCCAGCCCAGCCCCGTGTTAATTATTCTTTAATGGCTGTCTTCCCTATTTCTAGATTGCAGGCTCCCTGAAGGCAGAGACCTTGTCTGTGTCATTCCCAGTGCCTAGAAAACGATAGTCTCCAAAGAAATACTCATCCCGTGACTGCAAGGGCTGTTTTGCTGGGTTCTCATTCATTCAGCAGACACCTGTGGGCACCTGCTCTGTGCCAACTCCGTGGCATGAGGGGAAGGTTATTCCTAAATCAGGGATTGAATCCCCAAGAAGAGCTGGTATAGAGACTTAGCCTGGGCGGAAGTGGAGCATAGATGCAGAGGTGAGGCTGGCAAGGCAAGCAGGTAAACTGAGAGCCTGCCTCGTGCCAGAGCTTGAGCCAGGGTTGGGCATTGAGTAGAAAGTGAGAGTCTCTGCCCTCAGGGAAGCGGTGGTCGGGCCAGGAAAAGAAACTAAGAAACATACCCGCCTGAGCCCACTATCCTGCTCTGGGAGAGTAGTGAGCACCTGACTTGGAAAGTAGTCTTTGGGGTCTAAGAATCTGTATTCAGATTTCACATCTCAGGGACCAGGTGGAGCCAGTTATAAACACTCTTCATTAACCAGAGTGAAATTCCAAGCCAGGGCAGGGAGGGCCAGGGACATTGTTTCCTCTCCATTGCTGGTTATTCGGCTCTTAGGTCCTTTCTGTGGGTCACAGACCTGTGGCTTCTCACCCAGAGAGGAGCATGTGCGCTGAGGTGTGGGACAGGCAGGCCACTGTCAGTCCTCTGAAGTGGGCAGGCGGGGACATGGGCAGGCAGGGACGCATGCTTGTTTTTTTTGTTTTGTTTTTGCAGTGCAGGTTTTCAACCATGCATAGTAGGCAAGCACCGTACCACCCAGCTGCACCCCCAGCCCAGGGACACACGCTCTGTACACTGAGCAGGTGGGCTGTGATGGCAGGTTGGCCTAACGTTGCCGCCACTACACAGTTCAAATTAGGAAGGCAACAGAAACCTCTCTGCCTCTGAGGTGCGGTTCCCTGCCTCCCCTGGGAAACGGGGAAGGTGAACAGAGATCCAGGAAACTGATCTTGCTGTGTCAGTGAGGATTTGGGCAAGTTGTGTGTAACAGAAAACCCCAAATAATAGAGACTAACACAAAATAAAGTTGTTGTTTTTTTTCTCTTCTGAGAGAGAAGGAAGCTAGCGGTAGACAGGGTGATATTGTAGTTCCTTGAAGTTATCGGAGAATCAGACTTATTGTATAATCTTGCTCTGCCCCTTGTGGCTTCCATTTCTAAAGTCCTCTCATGACTGCTTTAGTTCTAGCCATTAATCTCATCCCAGGCAGGAGGAAGGAGCTTTATAAAGGAAATTTTATAGGAAGTTCTATGTAACACAACTTGTTTACATCTCATTGACTAGTCCTGCTCTGCCAATTATGGTAGCATCAAACTGTGTGCCTATTGAACCCTTGAAATGTGTCTGGTCCAATCAGGTAAGCTGCAAGTATGAAATGTTTGCCCATTTCAAAGACTTAATATGAAAAAAAGGTAATAAAAAGTTTCATTAACTTAAAAGATTTTTTATTATATGTTGTAATTATAATAGGTTAAATAGGTTATAATTTAATAAAACATAATAAAATGATTAAATATGATTAAACAATTAATATTTAATATAATTAAATAAGATATGATTAAAATATAATGGGTTATTATAGATTAAATAAAATGTGCAATTAAAGTTAGTATGTTTCTTTTTATTTCTGGAAATATGTCTATGAGAAAATTTTAAATTACTTATTGATTTAGCATTAAATTTCTGTTGCACTGTGCTGCATTAGACCTTTAACTACACAGACTAACAGCTGTAAGGGAGGCTGGGAAATATAATACTTTGATGGCATAAAAGGGTCGTTGGCCAAAAATCAGATTCTGTTATTGARGAGAAAGGGAAAATAGGTGTTTGGGGTAGGCAATCGGTCTGCCATATTCCTTTTTTTCCTTCTCCTGGGCAGGTGGAAGACAAAAAAATCTTCATGTTAAGTCGTATTTAAATTGCATATGAAAGAAATGTGGTGCATACCTATGATCCCAGCCACTCAGGAGGCTGAGGCAAGAGGATTGTGAGTTCAAAGCCAGCCTCAGCAATTTAGCAAGCCCCTAAGCAATTCAGTGAGACCCTGTCTCAAAATTCAGAAGGGCTGGGGATGTGGTTCAGTGGTTAGGCACCCCTGAGTTCAATCCCTGGTACCAAAAAAAGAGTTTCTGTCTTCCAGGAGCTTAACAGCTAATTTGGGGGACATACAGTGTATGACAATAAAAATGCTATTGAAGTAGTCAAAATGTATTTGGGACGTGAGGCTGGGCTCACTGAGGGTCCAAGGCCCTGTGGGTTGATTTGCAAACAGTGCCTGAAGGAGGAGGCGGAGCCTTGAGGGATGAGAACTGTGGGGCTTGGGAACAGTACCTGGAGGAGGGCTGCCCGCTGGGGCACTTGCTCTGCTTAATCCTTTGGGGTGGTCACTAGCAGAGCATGGCTGGAATGGGTGCAGTGGAGTGGGGTGAGCCCTGGGCCGTTCTTTTGATCCCTTCTCCCTATTCCTTTCTTCATCTCTAGGACGTTGTATTCAGCCTTCTGTATGGAGCTGGCCTCCCGTGGCTTTGTGGTTGCTGTGCCAGAGCACAGGTGAGGGATGACAGTCACTGTGAACTTTCCTGGAATGGGTGCCTGCAGTGAGCGAGGTATAGGCTAGTCCTCTATCAGTGTTTTCTTTTTTAGCCAAATGTGATAGCATACACCTAATCCCAGTGACTCAGGAGGCTGAGGCAGGAGGTTTGCAAGTTCAAGGCTAGCCTCAGCAACTTGGTGTGATTCTGTCTCAAAAAAATAAAAAGGGTTGGGGTGGTTAAGTGCCCTTGGGTTCAACCTCCAATACAAAAAAAAAAAAAAAAAGTTTTTAGATTTTTGTTTTGATCTTTGCAGTGCTGGGGATCAAACCCAGGGTTTTGCACATGCTAGGCAAGTGTTCTAATATAGCAGTATCCCCTGTGTATTATTTCTAATCCTCCCAACAATCATATAAGGCAGGCATTATGCCCATTTTAAAGAGCAGAAAACCAAAGTTCTAAAATGTTAAATAACTTGGCCAAAAGTGACACAGCTGAGCTGGTGCTCAAATCCTGGTCTGTCCAAAAATATGTCTTTTTCCTACTCTTCCTTGCATGCCTCAGACCCCTTCCCTACTAGCAAAAGGGGAGCCCACGTGACTTGGCTGAGAGAGGAGCTGGTCAAAGGGAGAAGTGAGTTCATGGTGTCTTCTGCCCTCTCCCCTACGGCGGGTGTATTTCAGAGACCAGTCAGCTTCGGCTACCTATTTCTGCAAGCAGGTCCCAGAGGAGAATCAGCCCACCAATGAGTCACTAGAGGAGGAATGGATCCCCTACCTTCAAATTGAGGAAGGGGAGAAGGAATTCCATGTTCGGAATCCCCAGGTAGGCGTGTGCGACCAGGGAAGGGGGGTTACTGAGCCTGCTTTCACTGTGTTGTCAGCTGTCGGCCACTACAGTGAAATACCTGGGAAAATTAACTTGTAAGAGAAAAGGTTTATTTAGCTCATGGTTCTGAAGGTTCTAGTCAAAGATCAGGTGGACCCATTGCTTTGGGTCTTTAGTGATGCTAGATGGCAATGTGGGGGGAGAGCAGACCCACCCACCTCGTGAGCCAGGAAGCAAAAGTGAGGAAGAGACTGGGGCCCCGCAAGTCCCCACCTCCTAAAGATTTCACCCCTCCCAAAGTGCTCCTCTGGAGACCATCTTGAATACATAGACATTTGGGGGATACTCACCCAGACTGTCGCTCTCAATAAACAATTCTTTTACCTTTCTAAATCTTTATTCCCATCTTAGTGGGAATAAATGGGGTATTAATCAGGACTCTTAAAATTGCCAGTATCAGAAACCCAGCTTAAGTTTGCTTAAGCAAAAAAGGGAACTGATTGGCTCATATAAGCAGACTATAGGAAGAGCACGACCACTGGAACCAGCTTCAGGCGCCATCAGTTCTTGCTCTCAGAGGGAATTCACTGTCTCTGGCTCTCTGCCATCTGGCTCATCTGCACACTGGCTTACTTCCTGAGGTTTGAACCACAGCCCTCTGCAGATCTGAGCTGGCATATGTTCAGCTGTTTGGGGGCCATTCCCTAGTCCCCTACATCTTGCCATGCTGGAGTTTGAAAAATCCTGGGAGAGGGAGTCCTAGCCTGCGGAGAAGTGCCAAAATGAAAGTTCCTACCAGAAATGCCTAGTTAGATTTGGGGTGGGGCAGTCCTCATCATCTCATGGGATCCTCCTGACAACCCTGTGGGCAGGCAGAATCAGAACCACAGGACTGATTGCCTTGTGCTGATGGGCGGTGCTCATGTGAGCTGCAAGGGCCCCTGTCCTTGCTGAGTGTAGGGGGCAAACCTTCCTTGCATTCTTCCTTGGTTGGCTCTGTAGATGAGATTTCTTGCTGGATGGTTGTGGAATTTCCAGTTCCCACTAGTCTCTCTGTTGCAGGTGCATCAGCGTGTAGGAGAGTGTGTGCGGGTATTGAGGATCATGCAGGAAGTCACTGCTGGGAGGACTGTCCTCAACATCTTGCCTGGAGGGTTGGATCTGATGACCTTGAAGGTATGGCAGCAGCTGGTGTGACCCTTGGTTACAGGGAGCAAACCAAACTCACTATCTTAAACCAAAGAGAACTTACTGGTTCACAAAGCTAGCAAGAACCCAGGTCAACTTTAGGCCAGTCCAGGGTCACACTGTCCTCAAAGCTTTTCTCTGCCTTCTGTATGTGGGTGTCTTTCTTACCATAGTCCCTGCTTTTGCCTAGAAAGATGGTTGCTGGCAGTCCAGTCCTGTATCTCAACTCACTGCACCAGAATCGAAAAGAAAGGAGACTGAGTTTCCTGGCTGTGGCCCTTTGTGGGTCACAGGCCCCTTCTGGACCAATCACTGAGTGTTCTGTCTACCTGCTTCTGGGTGGGGACTTGAGCAGCAGGATGCAGGTTCCCCCCAGGGCTGTGTGGACAGAGGAGGCTGTTCATTCCCTCATGGAGGATCTACTTCAGGCTGGCTCCTTCCTGTGAGGGACTCCCGGGAACCTCCAGGAGGTTATGCAACCATCCCTGCCATAGACTGGAGTGCTAGGAAGGCACCTTCAGACCCCGCCATTCACCCCCCACCTGATTTACTCAATAGCTCAGGTTTTATTCATGGAACCAAGAAATCACATAAAAGCATGAAGAAAAAAGAACAGTTCTTTTGGACATTTTGACACTGTTCCTTCCAGTTATTTTTAAAATGCATTAATACATACATGCATATTTTTGTTTACCTATTTTTGATATAGGGAATTGAACCAGGGACACGTAACCACTGAGCTACATCCCCAGCCCTTTTTTGTTTTGAGACAGGTCTTGCTAAGTTGCTTTGGGCCTTGCTAAGTTGTTGAGGCTGGCTTYAAGCTTGTCATCCTCCTGCCTCAGCCTCCCAAGTCTCTGGGATTACAGGCATGTGTCACCACACCCAGCTCATACATATTTTTTAAAACAATAATGTTATCATTTAATACAAGTTGTTCTGTGGGCTTCCCCCACCCCCACACACACTTAGCAAAACAATCTGTCTTTTTGTGCTAGTCAGTGGTTTGGGGTGGCATGATTTTTAGTGGCCATGCAATATTCCGTTGTAGGAGTAGGCACACCCCTACATTATTTCCTAGGTGATCTCCTTACACCAACTTAGGAAGTCAGCATTGTTAACCTGTCCATATCAAAAGAAAACAGATTAGACAGGCTAAGTGTCTACCCAAGAGTACTCAGCTCAGTGGTAGAGTCAAACTTTAAACTGGAATTTTTTGACCCATAAACCGTGCTGTGTGGCTCAAAACCTCTTTAAAAAAAATCTCTCGTAAGCCTCTGGTAGTGTCCTCTAAGGAGAATCATCTTCCTGGATGGCCAGCAGTGAGGCAGGACCTAGAATCTGGAGGGTTTTACCGGTGCCTTGCTGTGTGTGGTCCCCCGCTCTGGAGAAGCAGCCTCTGAGCGCGGAGGTGCAGGTCTACCTGCCTGGGAACCTGAGGAAGGGCAGCCACGGTCCAGTTCAGTTATTTGAGAAGCAACCTTTGGAAACACAGAATTAAAAACCATAAGTAATTTTCAACTATCAGACCAAGTAAAACTTGATTATTTCCTGTGTTGACACACTGGAGAAGTAGTCATCCTCCTAAAGGGCTGGTGACAGACAGTAGGGACTGCCCTGAGGAGAGACATTAGGTGTAGTTCTCAGCAGTACAGATGCGTGTGTGCTTTGATCCTCCCATCTCCAGTTCTGGGACTTCAACCTGTAACACCTGCCCTCATGAAGTGTGCTAATGTGCAAGTTATTTCTTCCTGTACAGAGTGTAACAGCAAAAGATTGACGGTAGCTTAAATGTTTACCAGTGATAGAGATGGTTGATAGGCTCTGCAACCTGGCTGTATTGTTTGGATAATGCTCACTGCTACAGCACATAAACCCCGTATCTCAGTGGCTTATACTATTGAAATTTATTTTTCTCCTATGTAAAGTCTTTGGGGTACCCCTGAGCAAGAGGTGAATCAGGGATCGAGGCTCCTTTTACCCTAGGATTCTACCATCTCATTTGTTAAATCCCAGATTTGTTGTGTACATTAAGCTAACAGAATGGGAGAGGGCAAGGAGGTCCCTCTGAGAGGGTTGGTGTGGACCAGCCTTGGGCTTGGAGATAGCACTTCTGCTCACGTTCTGTTGGCCAGAACTCAGTCGTGAGGCCTCATCTGACTGCTGGGAAATAGTCTAGCTGTGCGTCCAGGAACCGATTTGGTGGTTAGCCAGCTGTCTCTTCCATGGGGAAATAAAATGTAGCTGTAAGAAAGGTTGGGGAAGCTCTTTCTGTGCTGGAATTGCTACACAAAACAGCCTGATACTGAACCATTAGTATAAAAAGAGGGTGACGAATGTATTCCTGTTTGCTTATGCATGCAGAAAATGTTAGCTATCTGTGGGAGGAAGTGGGCAACCTGTGGAAAAGGCATGGGGAAGGGAGAGACCTCTCCGTACTTCTGGTTTTGGGAGGCACCTGAAGGTATTGACCTATCTTTTAAAAAGCTGAAAAGTCCACCCAATGCAGTGGCCAAGCTGAAGGTACTGAGTGAAGGGGGAGGATTCCAGCAGGAAGCCTTTGGGTGAGGGAGCAGGCTTCAGGGCAGAGGCTGGGCCACAAAGCCAGAGAAATGTCTGGCCCTCCTCAGCAGGCAGCTGCAGTGGTTTTTTATATAACCATGCCCTGAAGGCTCATGGGGACAACCAGAAATAGATACTTCCAGATCATGTTAGAATGAACAGATTCTTTCCTCTCTTCTTCTGGGCTTTGGATAAAAATCAGGACAGATATTCAAAGAGGAAGTAGAACCTGAGTGAGTGACTGCACAAACAGTCTTTGCTCCAGAGCAAAGTGGAGGTGCCACAGGAACACCCCCGATCTCCCCTCAGTGTGGTCCGGAGATCCCCAGGACCTGTTCATAAGGCACTGGAGGACAGAGAGAGATCTTATTCTCGCCATGCTCTAAACTGGCGAGCCAGTGTAGAACCTGACAACATGTGTCCATTCACTTATTCATAGGTATTTTTTTGTAGTTGTACAAGGACAACATGCCTTTATTTATTTTATTTTTATGTGGTGCTAAGGATCAGTGCCTCACACGTCTGAGCTGCAGCCCCAGCCCCTATTCATGGGTATTTGAATGTCCACCCGAGGCCGGATATTGGTAGGTTGGTAGATGGTAAGATTACAGAAATAAAGGTGAAATGAAAAATGGTTCTCAGAACTTCTGCCTGCAGCAGGCTGTTCATGCCCAGCACTGTCTGCCTGCCTGCGCTCATAGGCAAGAGGGTCTTTTTTTTCTGGTGGTGTAGTGCTAGGATTGGGCCAGCGCCTCATCCACAGAAGGCGAGTGCCCTACCACTGGGTGACACTGCGCCTGCTCCGGCAGGAGGCCCAGGGTGGCTCTGGTGGCCTCCTCTGTGTCAAGCCTCCTCATCCCTCAGTGGTTCTTCCTCTTGCTGTTGAGGAATTCCTTAAGGGGGGAAAAAAAAGTCCCAAATTTCTGGCTTGGCTAAGTTCTGTGCTTCCCTCAGGGCAGCATTGACTTGAGCCGCGTGGCTGTGATGGGACATTCATTTGGAGGGGCCACAGCTGTTCTGGCTTTGGCCAAGGAAGCCCAGTTTCGGTGAGTTTCCCAGCGATGCCGTTGCTCCGGCTCATTCATTCACTGTTGTGCTCATGTATCAGGAAGTGAGTGCTATGTTCTAGGTGTGTTGGGGGGTGGGGCTGGAGATTCAGTGGTTACCAGATCTCTGCCTTCCTGGAATTATGTCGCCGTGGGAGGGACAGCCTGATGCAGAAGCTAGCAGATAGGGAGGCGCCCAGCACCTGAGTGCAGTGAAGAACATGAAACAGGCTGTTGAGCTGGACATGAAACAGGCTTCTCTGAGAAGGAGACATAAACAAGACGAAAGGCAAAGAGACCAGCCGTGCAAAGGTCCGGAGGAAAGTCCTCCCCACTAGTGGGAACGACTAAGCAAAGGCCCTGAGGTGGACACATGCTGACTATATCAGAGTGGGCAGAGCATAGTGAGGGACAGGCACCGAAGACAGGGGCGAGATGACAGGGCCTTTGGGCCAGGGGAGGGAAGCTTAGATTTTATTCTAAGTTCGAGGGGAGGCTAGTGAAAGATTAAAAAAAAAAAATGCATCTTACTTTGAAAAAGTCTGTGGCTACTCTAGCTACTGTGCGAAGGATGGATGGTGTCAGGACCAGACTCCAGGCCAGAGGCGACTGTCAGCGTGAGCTGAGAGGTGAAGGATTTGCATGAGGGTGGAGGGAGCCGGATGAGAGAAGTGAGTGAAACACGGGGTGCACTGTAGAGTTTCAGGGTTGAGTGTAAGTGAGGTGAAGGAGGGGAAGTGGAGACTTCCCTTTGGGTGTCCATCATTCGAGATGGAGAAGGTCCAGGTTGGGGTGGTAACTAATCGGAGGGCCAGGGTTTTGCCCTCTGCACCAAGGAGGTCTTCCTGGCCTCCCCTGCCAGGCCAGCTCTGGGCTCGCCCAGCACCTTTCAAATCGGGGCACTGAGCTAAGTGCCCGCTGCCTTGCCTGTTAGTCTTCCCTGCCAGCCTGGGAGCTTCCTGAGACTCAAGCAGAACTCTGTGTCCAGAGCACAGGGTTAAGCACCCAGCAGGCGCTCAGTGAGCACTGAAAGGGTGAGTGGCTGACTGAAGTGCCATTGTGCATGACTGGAGTCAGTGCCCCGAGAGCAGGTCCAGAGACAGGTCTGGACCTTGCTGTCGGTAACTGGTAAATCCAGGATCCTAACTGAGGGGCCTGGGCCCTGGTACCTCCTCCCTGGCTTCCTGAGCCTTTAGCCCACTGGAGGGAAGCACCCCACCCTCCCTCACCACCCTGATTCTTCTTGCCCGAGTTTCTATATGGCAGCTCCAAATATCTGGTCCTCTTCCAGATGTGCTGTGGCCTTGGATGCTTGGATGTTTCCGCTGGAGCGTGACTTTTACCCCAAGGCCCGGGGACCTGTGTTCTTTATCAATGCTGAGAAATTCCAGACAGTGGAGAGCGTCAACTTGATGAAGAAGGTTTGCACCCAGCACAAGCAGTCCAGGATCATAACTGTCCTGTGAGTAAACCCCATGGGCAGGACCTTGTGTCCTCTCCATTGACTCCTTAATTTCTTCTGGATTGGCTCGTAGTATCTGGAATTAACAGAATACCCGAATAGCTCCTGAATTCCACAATCTTAATTCATTTATAGTTTCTTCCTGTCCCTCTTCTCCACTTAGCTCCATCTACAGGGATTTCTGCAGGAGTTGATCTGACTTTACGACAGGGTTTACCTGGTGCTTTCTGGTAGAAAAGCATTGTGGGATTGCGTGTTGGAGAGGCAGGGGTGTGAGTCTGGGTGGGTTCCAGAGATCTCTGTACCCTTCTTGGAGTTTTGTTGGGTTTTTTTGGAGAGTGTCTGTGGGAGACCTTTGACCTCCATCCATTGGAAGTTCCTTAGCACTTGCATGAACATTTGAATCCACAGATGTCACTCTAACATGTTCTTTTCCGTGACCTTCTGTATTCCGGCCAAACCACCTTCTCTTCGCCTTCACCTCTAGCACCATCAGTTGGTTTTCTCCTGGGAGCCACTTTTCAGGAAGCAAACAATTTCTGGTGACTTAAAGACAATTCACTGTATCAGAGGTGACGAGGACCTACAGAGACAGGACTGAAACCGCCCTGGCTTGATCCTGCCCTGCACGAGCCCAACAGCACACACATCAGGGGTCCCAGTTCCCACTTCAGGAATGGGATGTGGCTGTGTGCCCAGACCTTCAGAGTCACTCGGTGGTTGGCATGTCCTGGCGCCAAGCCCCTGAACATCGGTATGTTGACGGTCGGTGGCTTCTCCCCGGCCTGTCTTGGCCCAGGCTCTCCACTAGGACCAGCCCCTCCTCTTTCATTTTGGTTTCATGGCGTTGGAGGGGACAGGACTGCTGGAATGTCTGTCCAGGCCAGACTCCAACATTTGTGACCACTGGGGAGAGGAGGGGAGGGAAGTTGGGACAGGGCGTGCAAAGGGGACTTCTGGTGGGTGTTACTTCTTAAACTGTGTGCTGGATACCCAAGTATATTATTCTCTTCATTTTTTTTTTTGTTCTCTTACCTTAAATAACGCATTTTTTCACATTTAAAAAATTATTTATTTTTAGTTGGACACAATACCTTTGTTTTATTTATTTTTATATGATCCTGAGGATCGAACCCAGGGCCTCGCACGCGTTAGGTGAGTGCTTTGCCGGCCACTGAGCCACAACYCCAGCCCTTTTTTCACATTTTTATTGGTGTGTATTGATGGGATTTGCTGTTGCATATTTGCACACAAACACAACATAGCAATATAGTGTGGCCAGTTCACTCCCCAGCATTTTCTCCTTTCTGCCTGCCTCCCTCCCACTTCCTGGCCCCTTTTCTCTACAATCTCCCTTGGGTTTTCAGGAGATCCACCCCCAATTCTGTTTTTCTTTTTCCTCTTATTTAACATGATGGTCTCTAGTTCAAATAATGCATTTTTTTCCACTGCTGGGATTAAACCCAGTGCCTCACACATGCCTGGCACACGCTCTACCACTGAACTGCACCCCCAGCCCAAGTAATGTATTTTTAAGAAATCATTTTTTTTTGCATGATATCACACAGAAATGTAGCATTTAAATTTTCCATCCCTCGTTGAATTGAATAGTGAATTTAGTTATGAGTAATTTAGCCTAAAATGAACCTTCTAGTAAGGATTTCACCTGTGAATTAAACATATTTAGAGGGCTGGGGGTGGAGCTCGGTGGTAGAGGGCTTCCCGAGCTTGCACAAAGCCCTGGTTCCACCCCCCTGCACTGCAAAGTACACAGTTGTGACAGGGAGCTGATGTGTGCGGGGAATGTTTGGCATTGAGGTCTGGTGATAACACCTGAGTTCAAATCCTAGCTCGGTGCCCTGTCCCCTGTGTCACCTTGGGCAGACCACTTCTCACATTCTGTTGAAGGGGAAAATACCTCCTAGACAGAGTTGCTGTGGAAATTATGAATGACAATTAATGCATGGAAGCTTCTCAGACACACAGGTGCTCCGCTGGTGTGCCTCACCTCCAACCCTACCAATGCTTTCCTTTTCCTCTAGTGGTTCTGTTCATCGGAGTCAAACGGATTTTGCTTTTGTGACGGGCAACTTGCTTGTGAAATTCTTATCCACCCAAATCCGTGGGAGCCTGGACCCCTATCAAGGTCAGGAGATTATGGTGCGGGCCATGCTGGCCTTCCTGCAGAGGCATCTTGGTAAGAAGAGAGCTGGGGCCCAGGGGGCAGATGTGGGGTCCCTTAGAATTCACTGCAGCACAGTGATCAGTACGAACATGGCTGAGCCCCAAGATAAGGAGTTACATAGCATTAAAGAAAAAGCACGCGCCTGGAGGTTGGGGGACCCCGAGTCTGGCTCTTACTGGTCATTCAGCCTCGCTGAGCCTTGGTTCCTCACTGCAAAAAGTGCACTCACCTCTGCACTCACCACTGTCCTAACCCATGTTTATCATCACTAATTTATCTGCATTGCGAGGGAGATTATGATAACTGAGCTAAATGTATGAAAGTTCTTTAAAGAAACCAAGCACGGAAGGATTGTGACTCATGACATAAGTCACTGTCAGCTCATTGGCAAGGCCTTTACGAGCTCTGGTCTCCTCCACCAGAGGGGCTGTCTTCCCCAGGACGCCATCAAGCCCTCTCTGCCACTGGGAATGTGAATGGTTATAAGGGTTGATTCTAGTCTTTTGGTTGGAAAGACTACAAGTTCACTATCTTACCTTGAGAAAAAAGTGAAATTCATGTAAGGGAGGGTGCCCGGGCCAAGGGGCTGGTGCAGTTACATGAGCCAATGTCACTTGCAGGACTGTCGTCTTGTCCCGTCTGTCTGGCYAGCTCAGCCTCTCTGTCCTGTCCTCTCGTGATGTCCACGTCTGTTCATCCAGGATGCCTTTTTCTTTCTTCCTGCTGTTTTTTCCTTGTGCTGACGGCGTCCGCTCTTTCATTCCGCTCCTCCTACCCCTGGGTCTTTCCTTGTTGGCTCCCACTGCTCTCSGCCATGTTTTTAAAATGTCTTCATCCAGATTCTCAAGAGAGTCAGTTTGATCGCATCAGCATATCTTTGCCTGCCAAGGCACATTGTGGGCCACTGTTCCACCTAGTCCTGGCATTCCCAAATCAGGTGTCTGATTGGGGGCCACCACCACCTGCCATCAGAAGGGAGCTGGGCTCGGCTAGACTCTTAAGGTTTGAAGCGTTTTCTAAACAAAATGACGCTTGCTCTTGATCTTGACGGGAGAAGAGAGCTCCCAGGCAGGGAAGGGGCGAGAGTCCCGTGGGCAGTGGTCTTGGTCAGTTTTGAGAAGCTCTCTGGTGTACCTGGAGCTCAGGATAATGAATTGTTGAAATGTAGAGGTAGAGAAGCGGGCAGAGGGCAGATGTAGAGCCCATGCATTTGCTGAAGTTAGTTCGGGATTTATCCCACAGGCTAGGAGGAGCCCTCGGTGGTTCTAAGCAAGAGAAGGTCACAGTTAGACTTTTAACGTAGTCTGCCTGCTGGAGGCCAGGAGGGCAGGGGTGAGTTGAGAGGCAGSGAGCCCAGTGGAAGGAGCTGGTAAGGTGGGAGACGGCCTGGGCTGTTCACCTGGCAAAGAGAAAAGCTTTTTTGGTGGCTGCTCAGTGTGTTGTCACATGGAAACTAAAATAGTCTGCAGGTGGCTCAGCTGCACCTCTAGCTCCTGAAAATACCATTCTGCTGATCTAGGGTGTCACCTTCCAGGAAGAAGATGGCTGCTTGCTCTGTGTTCACTGTGCGCTCCAGCTCCTCAGCCTTCCGCCCACTCTCCTAGAGGACTGTTCACACCTTCTCCTTCCTCCCTAAACCCCTGGCACCTCTTGCCTCAGCCTGTCTCTCAGCTCAGCAACTTTGCCTCCCACTTCAARGCGACTGGAGGCGACTAGCACTTCCTCAGACCCCCGCAGCCCCTCCCCCGGGCCGGCTCTTCTGTCTGCTCAGGGTGGTCACAGCAGCAGCTTGTCTTCTACTTTAGATCATCTTCTCTACTGGTTTATTTCATGCCAAAGTTTCTTCCTTAAAAACTAAAGAAATGGGGGGAAAAAAACTGCCAGTTGCCGTGACATATGCCTGTAACTCTAGTGACTTGAGTGCTGAGACAGATTGCAGCTTGAGGCCAGCCTGGGAGACATGAGACCCTGTCTCATAATAAAAAATAAAGACGGGCTGAGGATGTGGCTAGGGGTAGCGAATCCCTGGGTTCATTCCTCAGGACCACAAGTTGAAGTAAAAAAAATAGAAACTCTGGGGCTGGKCTTGTGGATCAGTGGTGGAGCACCTGCCCAGCATGTGTGAAGTCCTGGGTTCAGTCCCAACACTGCAAAACAAGCAGAAAAGAAAATTCTCCCGACTTCAGTATCCCCTCCAGTTATCACCCATGCCCTGTTCCCTCCAACTCTCAGAATGACATCTGTCTTTATTTGTCTAATTCCTTTCTTCTCATTCTCATCTATCTTAAGCACAGTCTTCTCAGGCTTCTGCAGTGCACTCCTTCATCAAAACTGCTGGGGCCAAGGTCCTCGTGACCTTCACAATGCCAAATCCTTAGCCAGTTCCTGTTCCTCATCTCACTGCAACTCTGAGCAGCTCAGGGAGGGTTGATAACGCCCTCCGCTGCGGAGGGCTTGCTCTCTTTGCTTCTGGCGTTATAGATTGTCTCCTCTCTTGCTTCCCCCAGCCAGCCTTGCCACTTCCAGGGCTCAGTGCTTGGACCTTGGCTTAATCTATTTTCAAAAAAATGCCTGATGCTGAGACTTTATAAAGAAAAGAGATCTACTTAGCAGTTATAGTTAGCAGGTATATTTAACAGTTCTGGAGATTGAAGAGCATGGTGCCAGCTCCATCCCTACAGTTAGTTCTTAGGTCAAAGATTGTCACTTCTAGTAGATCTCCCATCCAGTCCCTCAGAAATGGGCTGGGGATGTGGTTCAGTGGTAGAACACTTAACCTAGTATATCTAAGGCCCTGGGTTCAATCCCTAGCATCCCCCCCCCCAACAAAAAGGAATATATGTCACCAGTCCCACAGCCCCATCCTGTCTGTCACCCCTCACCTCACTTACTGCCAGTCTCCAGCCTGTCCCTCTTTCCCCCCATTGAGTCTTTTCTTAACAGAGCAGCCAGAGTGGTCTTTTTAGGAAGTTAGTCGGATCTTGTCACTCCTTTGCTCTTAATCTAACAATGGCATTTCTCTGAGAGTCTCTCATTCCTGCTGGGCCTGTCTGATGTGACCGTCCTTCCTGGCCTCTGCTCCTACTGTTCTTCCCTTAGCCTACTTCACTCTCACCACATAAACCCTCAGTGTCAGGCACACTCCTGCCTCAGGGCCTTTGCACTGCTGCTCCCTCTGCCTGAAACATTTCTCCCAGATAGTCTCATGGCTCACTCCCACCTCCTTTAAGTCTTTGCTTAAATCTCATCCTCTCCACCTTGACTACCCTTTTTACATCACAGCACCTTCACCTCCACCCTCAGCCTTGTCCCTCCCCACATAGAACACTTACTCCCTGTTTACATCCTCCATAATTTATTTTGTTTGAGTCTCTCTCTGCCCACTAGATGATGAGCTCTCTAAAGACAGGGTTCTGCCTCTTTTTCTCTTGGATGTATTTTAAGCACTAAGAACAGAAGGTGGCACACAGTGGGTGTGTTCAATATTTTTTGAGTTAGTGACTATGTAGCGCTGATGTGTTGAGCAATTACTCCATGCCAGGCACTGGATACCCAAAGAGAAATGAGAATGGTCCCTCCCTTTGTCCCGGGTTCTGTTTGTCTTGGGCAAGGCACCATTTGCCCATTCAGCTGAACCCTCCTCCCTTGGCTAAAGAGCTTAGACCCTTTCTTTTTWAAATATTTTTTTAGTTGTAGATGGACAAATATCTTTATGTATTTTTGTGTGGTGCTGAGATTTGAGCCCAGTGCCTCGCTTGCATGCAAGGCAAGTGATCTACCATTGAGCCCCAACCCCAGTCCCAGACCCTTTCTTTTTTTTCTGGTGCTGGGGATTGAACCCAGGTGTGCACTACCACTGAGCTACACCTCCAGCCCTTTGGATTTTTTTTGAGATAGGCTCTCACTAAGTTGCTGAGGCTGGCCTTGAACTTGGGATCTTCCTGACTGTTCTTGCCACGTGAGGCCCTTCTGCACGTGATCCCAGGGCCTCCTCTGGAGTTACGCCTGGTGTTAATGCTGCTTTATGGATTGCTACCCTGTGGATTCTGCCTGGGGTGACGTGGTAGTTGCACCCAGTGGCCATGTACTAGGATCTCGTCTTGTTTAGCAACATCCCTGAGCCTGGAAGCTGACTTTCCATTTTCTCTGCCTTCCTGTCCTGGATGTAAATTTTGTCTCCAGCTCTTATCAGCTGCAGCTGACCTTGGGCAAATCAGGTTAGCTTCTCAACTGTAAAATAGGGCTAACAGTGGCACTTAGCCCACAGGGTGATTGTGAAAATTATGTGAAACGCCATCCCCTGGAATGGTTCTGCTGCAGGGTGTATTGCCAGCTGTTACATCATTACTGAGTTGCCGCAGATTAAGTCACTCATTTATAAAGGCACAGAGTGATCATTACAACCACCAGCCAGTCCGTCTGGTATCCCAGGTGCTCCTCTCTGGGATGACCCCCGAGTCCCCGAGAGCTCCTCTTTGGCCTCACTTTACAATGATTTGCCTAACCTTCCTCCTCTTTCCCCTTTCAGACCTGAAAGAGAACTATGATCAATGGAACGACCTCATCGAAGGCATTGGACCGTGCCTCATCCCGGGGGCTCCACACCATCTGTCCAGTCTGTAGGCTCAACTGGCCATTTGAAAAAGGTCACTCGAGCTGAGCTTCCGGGGCCACCCATAGCCTGTTGGGAGGGGTCCACAGGACTCTCTTTCACTGACTGAGAGGATTAATCACCCTGCTGATTGGATAGCTGGGTTCTTTGATCTTGGACTTGTTGATCTTAAACTCACATTGTGACAGGGATCATCAACTGATGGACAAAGTGATTCTGTGGGACCCTGATGGTGTGGGGAACAAGCAGTGGGGGGGTGGGGGGAGCCAGGGGAGAGCCGGGAGGTGAAGACTCAGCCCCCCACCCAGCCTCCTGCCTCACCTTGGGCCAGTGCTGCTTCCTCTGTGGCAACGGTGATGCCAGAACACAGAGGGAGACCTTCAGGGCTTCTGCCCTGCCTGGCACTGCCTCTCCCGCCTCTCCACCTTCTCCCTCCCCAGGGCCACTTGGTGACACAGGCACTGTAGGTAATTTTCAAGGATACGGGCCATCACCAGATTTGCCATTTATTTTCAGCTTTTCTCATTGCGTGAAGCCTAGTTCTGGGCCTCAGTTATACCTCCAGCCCACAGGAGGCGGGTGGTATTGTTCTGACAGGGAGAGTCTCTACAGCACAAAGGGGTGCCTCAGAGTTCTGGGTGTTTGAGGGTTTTGCCAGGAAGCAAATGAGCAAGCTGGTTTGGGCAGAGAGGAGAGTAGTGCTGTCACCGTTAGCACAGGACTTGCCACAGAGCGAGGTAGTTTGGTCAGCTCAGACTCCAAGGCCACTCCTAGGGAAGTCTAGAATCAGCTCGGTTTTGCCTGTTACCTCAGATAACTTGAACCGCCAACCTGCTCAGAAACAGGGCGCTTTAGTGGTCTTTCTTCTTTGCCTCAGGGTCTGAGGCAAAAAAAAAAAAAAAAGAAAAAAGATGAAATTTCTTTTCTGTTCCATTTATAATTTGAATGATATCGATACTCACGTTTGCCTAATGATAGATTGGGAATATTCTCTCTCTTTAATCTGCATTAGATCAAGAGGGGGAGCCATCTGGAAGTGACTCTTCCTTCTGTCTTTCTTTGTTCACTAACCACGTGGGCCCTGTGTWCAAATCTTTGTAAGGAAAGGAAGACTCCAAGGCATCTAGTTCATCAGCCTGAAACTCCACCTCCACCTTCAAGGCTTCTAACCTCAGTCCTGGGAGGGGACCCGGAACAGGCAGGAGCAAAAGGGAAGGGCATCTACACAGTAGTCCAAGGTCAGGGTCACCAAGCAAGCTGGAGGCTGGGCACAGTGGTGCACGCCTGTGGTCCCATGGTGCAGGAGTCTGAGGCAAGAGGATCAAGAGTTCAAAGCCAGCCTCAGCAACTTAATAAGACCCTATCTCAAAAAATAAAAAGGGCTGGGGATGTGGCTCAGGGGTCAAGTGCCCTTGGGTTCAATCCCTGCTAACAAAAAAGCACACTGGAGGATCTGTGAATTTTGTGGCACCCTAGGAGCATCAGGAGGATGTCATTAAGTCCCAGGGATCTGGAGCTATATAGCCTGGTTTGGAGTCTTGGCTCCAACATTGCCAACTGGGTGAATGAGCAGATTTTGTTCTCTTCCCAGTCTCAGTTCCTGCATTTCTAAAGTGAGGGTCTGCACTATAAAGAGTTGGAAGGATTAAGTGAGGGGATATATTTAACCCCTGGGTTATTAAAATTTATGTTTCCTACTTTCCAARCATATGAGGGTTTTCTAGCTGTAGGTATTATTTTCTCAATCAATTGCTTTGTGGTGAGAGAAAATGACCCACATGGTTTACATCCTTCAGCATTTGTTGAAACTTGATTGTTGGCCATGTGTAAGGTGTGTTTTGTAAATATTCCGTGCTTGAAAAGACTGGATTCTTAATGTGATGACACACTCTTCCTCAACAACGCATCATGGATTTCCTTTCACAAGAGCATATTCAGATACATGGTGGGGCCCTCCAGCCCCCACGTTGGGATCAGAGTCCCTCAGCACTCACAAGATGATCAGTGGACCGGCCTTGAGGAGTTGCCACCCAAATGCAGTAGCACTTGAGACCCTGCTTCTACCTGAGAGCCATAAATAATACAGGTATGTTTTGCAAAGCCCTCAACAGAAGGTCTGGGACCTCTCAAGAGAAAGGAATGGTTAGAAACGGGACCCTCTCCTCCATTCTGTTCAGCTATGACTCATTGGATTAGGTAGATTTTCCATTTAGGTTAAAATTACCCATTAAGCCACAGCATGTAATATTGACTCTTAGGAATGGGCATACCAAAGAGAACACCACTTCTTAGAGTGAACTGACCCATTTAATCTTTTAGGATTGTGTTAGGATAGACTAGATGATATGGTGCTAACAAGCAGCCCCCCAAAAGCAATGAAAGTTCGTTTCTTGCCCTTGCTGCTTGTCCTCTGTGGGTCAGCTGTAGGCTCAGCTCAGTGTCATTTTTATCCTTATTCTGGGACCCAGGTGGATGAAGCACCTACCAGCTCCAAAAGCTTCTATCTAGAAGTGACACAGTGTCCATTCATGTGTTGTCAGAGTCCATTATCTGGCCATTCATAGCACCTCCTGCCATCCCAAGAGAGCCCAGATATTAGGGACCAGGTCTCATGTCAGAGCAGAGGTGACCTCTGGTCTCTGGGTGGTGGGTGTATTTGCACCTGCCTTCCAGCTCCCAGCAGCTGTCCTTTTAGTCCTCTTGATGGCTTTTCAGAGTTTGCCTTCTCTCCTGTGGTCATGCTGCCAGTTGTCACTCTTCCAAGCCTTTAACGTACGTGCCAGCCACTAGCAGCCTCCCTCTTCACATCAAATTTGTGACTCCTGATGTCCAGTGGACTGAGAAATCAGCCACGTTATGTGAAACTGTGCATCAAGGAAAGCTGGACAGTCACAGAGGCTTTAGGGACCCTTCTACAACCAAGCCTGTTTCCTGTAGCTCAGGGGCTCTGTGGTCCCTCTGACTGTCCGGGAGGGATATCACGAGGCCTTTTGTCATTTGTTCTGCTTTTGGGTTAGTTGTGTCCCATCACAGCCAGATGCAAAGGCCAAGTGTCACTGGCCATAGCTGTGTGGCAGAATGACAGTGATGATCACAGTAATCACAGCCAGTGTTTCTCAGGCCCTGCCGTGTGGCAGGAACTGCACTCGGTGCTCTGAACGCATCTGTACTTCTCACAGTAACCCCACGAGGTCAGGGGCATGAGCTTCATCTTACGCACAAGGAGATTTCATGACCGGAGCAACAATTTGGCAAAAGTAGGTCTTGGCATCAAAATCCAAGCTTCCTGTCACTGAGTCATAGTGATAGTACCTAAGAGACATACCTGGTTTTGCACTTGCTTTGGTTTCTTCAGACTGTCAGAGTATAGGCAATGAAACTTCACAATAGACTGAAATGTCAGGATCTCCAGCGATGTCTATGGCCCATATTGCATTTCAGTGATAACTTTAGTGCTACTGAAAAGGGGGTTGGGGAGAGAATGAACCTCATGAGAACTCTAAGTCAGAGTCTATCGTCTGGCCTGTTGGTTTGATAAACCTGGAATGCAGGATTAAGAATATGGGCTTCAGGGCTGGGCTTGTGGCTCAGTGGTAGAGCACTTGCCTTGTACTTGTGAGACACTGGATTCAATCCTCAGCACCACATATAAATAAATAAAGRTATTGTGTCCATCTACAACTAAAAAAAATTTTTTTTAAAGAATGTTGTCTTCAAACTAAGCATGGTGGTGCACACCTGTAATCCCAGTAACTCAGGAGGCTGAGGCAGAAGGATTGCAGGTTCACAGCCAGCCTCAGTAACTTGGTGAGGCCCTAAGCAACTTAGTGAGACCCTGTCTCAAAATAAAACGCTGGGGGCTGGGGATGTGGCTCAAGCGGTAGCGCACTCGCCTGGCATGCTGCGGCCCGGGTTTGATCCTCAGTGCCACATACAAAGATGTTGTGTCCGTGGAGAACTGAAAAATATTAAAAATTTCTCTCTCTCTCCCTCCCTCCCCCCCCCTCCCTCCCTCTCTCTCTCTCTCTCTCTCTCTCATTCTCTCTTTAAAAAAAAAAAAAAAAAAAAATGTGGCTCGATGTGGCTCAATTAAAGCTCCTGTACAGAAAAAACAAAGGAACATGGTCTTCAAAGTCAGCCCACTCTGTCACTGAATGCTTCTTTATCAACTTATGTGACTTTG